GCTAAATGCTGGATTTGCGTAGGCAATGTAGGGACAAACAGAGCGAACTAGGGAACGCTCAGAGGGACGAATACGATTGGCGGAGAGGAATCACGTGATGTAAACAAAAAACTGCCGTAGTAGTTGTCGTCGGCGTCTGCTTTTCGCTGTATTTCTTCGGCGAGTAACAAATTAAAGGCCTCCAAATTCAATCATTTTTTCGCTTAACTTTCAATAACAGAAGTCAAAGCATTAAATAAACACGAATGCTCTTTACATTTGTTATTGTGTTTTAATATCGGTTGATAACAGGATATCTTGACGGTGGCAGTAGTTTTCGTGCTCTCATTTTGAGGTGAAGGAGCCATCGGGGGCCCCAAATCTCACCGAACGCGAGAAGGACACTCTGCTCGCTACATCGCTGAAGACAAAACAACATCGAGATTAAGTAGGCAGGTAAGATGACTACTAAAATCAAGTCATGCCTGAGACGGATGAAGTTCAAAACAGTGACAAACTCGCCACGGCAGCTGCGAAAATGCCCGGAAATCGTCGAAGTCGTCGAGAGGTCAGGTCACGAGACCTTGCATCGACGGTACTCGTTGCTATCAGCAAGGTGACAGAACTGCATTGTACCGTCGTTGAACATCCGCTGGAGCCTCAAACGGACTTCAGTTTCACACTGTCGAGATCAGGAAAAGAAAAACTCCCACTAGTACATCACATCGTGCCGATAAGAACGGTCGTCTCTTCGCATCACCTGCCCCAGATTGCCCCGATACAGCAATGAACGAATCTAACATAGTAGTCGTTATGATTTGTCGTCGCCACGAATGAAAGCTTATACAATCTTGTGCGCAACAAAGACGAGGACAAAAGCAGAGAAGAGGACACAACAAGGCGCAACTTTATACTGAATTTTATTGAAAATGTGTTCCGGTATATAGTCTCAACCATCATCACAATGACAACAAACGACAAAAGTAAAGGAAAAACACCATCACAGAGCATAACTGGGAAACAACACTATCTCGTTCTCAGGAAACGAATGAAAGACGTAAAGCGAAATATTCCTAAAAAAGTCGCGATCACCAAAAAATTACGGTTATGGAATGATACAGTTTTCTGAAGCCAAGATTCTACTCGCGAGATTAGGAAAATTCACTGAAGATTGTCTCAAAACTCAGAAAACGAAAGAAATTGAATTTTCGCTGTTTTATTGCTTAAAAGCGCCGCAATCTAATGCAAACGGCAGAGGTGTCGACAATCAGCTGATCGCCGAGATCATGTACTGCCATTATTCAACGCGCTAATCAGATTGAAGGATACTCGCTGCAAGTGTAAATAAGCAAGGTGGTAAATACCAATATGTTACGGTTATGCGAAAATTAGTAAGTACATACGAATAAGCTCGTTGACAGAATAACCAACGGGAAGACAGACGTGAGCCTGAGCTCCGTACGTATCTCTTTTAGGGCTAACACGCCCTGAGAGTGGAGAGCCAACTTGAAAACAGGGGTCGATAAACACTTCACGCGACAATATTTTGCATCCTTGTCACAATCGAAGGTCAATCTGTCGAGACTTTCACGCTGATGCAGCCTAAAACACTTTGCACAACCAATTTCGTCCACCGCGTCGACCGCGACAAACCAGCCGCCATGTTTTTAATCCAGGATTAAGAAACAACCAAAAGCAAAGCGCCCAATGTTGAGCGCTCAGGTTAAGCGTTGTTTAGTGCTAGGTTTAGCGATAAGCGATTTTCGTGCAACCGAACAAAACCGAAACTAAGCTTAGGTTCCCGGCTAAGCTCCGCTTTGCGCTAAGCGGCGTTGGTGCAACCGGCCCTTAGAGTGTGTGCTATCCTCTACTTTCAATATTCACGTAATTTTTATGGAAATAATTTAATTAATATCGGCTCCCCCCCCCCTTTTTTTTTTTTTTTTTGCAGTACTGACAGGTCGTTCAGCATCGCTGTCACTTGAGCTGCACGTTTAATAGCTGCGAAAGAAACCACGCGATGCTAATATAACATGAAAAATAGACTAATAAAACTCAATAAATCTCTCACTTTTTTAATATGAGAGGAAGAATAAACTGGTGTATTGTTTTTTGTCTTCATGTTGCTGATGTGGGGACCAGCGTTGTGTAAGGCGAGAGGACGAGCGCGTTTCGGAACGGCCAAGGCACTACTGCAGCTGGCGAACATATAGCAAATTGTCTTTTGTCGAAGGCAGTCTATAAAAAAAAAATACCTCGATTGGGAGTACATGAAGCATCAAACTACGATATGAACAGAAACTTCAACAACCCTAATATTAAAAACAAAATTATTCTCCCCCCAACTCACTGTTTTACTGCCTCTCAAAAGTGGTAATACACTTCATCGACATACACGGCAAGCGCATGACAGATATCCAGCAACATACTACGCGAAAAGACTACAAAAGAGTCATAATATATTGCGGCATAGAATCCTAACCTCTTCGCCATTGACGATGCGCACATAATCCCGAAGGATAAGGCACAATTCAAAATGTCTCTCGCACATCGCTGATGTCTAGGCGAGGCGTTTATCTTCTCGGTTAAGATTTTTTTTCCCACTGTAGTCTGCGCGACTTCGCCTTTGGCGCACGAAACGGCGACGGCTTACGATCACTGGTGGTCCGGCTTCCCTCGTTGACCGGGTAGCCCGACTTGCATCCCGGCGCGAAGCAGTGTGTGTGTCCGTGTTTTTCCCCGCATTTATGATCGAGACGGCAACGGAACGATGAAGACTCCCCACCACCACACCACAAAGAAACGTGCTACGGTGCTACGTTCCGTAGAAGCGTACCGCCTCAGCATCGTCTTCTTCCTCACTCATTGCACAGTGGTTCTAGTTGCCGGCCGCGAGTGGCGCTGGAGTTCACAGCCCTAGGAGAATTTGTGACCATCTGCCACAAATTCTCGTAGGGCTCTGAACTGCAGCGCCACTCGCGGCCATCTACGCTGACTGCCTTCGCGCGGCCCATTGTAAGCGGGCGCCGCTCTTGCCACTACATCCTCTAGAACACTCCGATAAAACACAAGGTCAAGCAGCGCCCCGCAACGCTATTAAAGGCCGTCAAGGCCTCGGCTATGTCATTAAGAGCGAAAAGCTCTCCGTGGTAGCAAAACCGAATCGATTCCGCTTCGTCGGTTGTTCCCATTCCGTCGACACCAAGCGGCTCGCCGTTCACTCAGGAGCAGTTGCGCACAATCGTGCAAACCAGATAACAAGACATACCGACAGGCGACACTTCAGTCGACGCGTGCAGCGGTACGACGTCTAGGCAGGTGCGTACACTTCGGCAGCAGTCTATTAAGTGTATCTCCGATCACGATGTATTGCATTGACCCCTAAGCTGACAGCGTGATGGGAGCTACGCGCTCGTTCGGGCCAATCATATGTCTCCCTTCCGGCACGTAAACACGCTCTCGCCCATACCGCACGAGCAGAGAGCGAGATCACGCGATGGAAAAGATGCAGTTGATTGGTGCAGCGAGAACGTAGCTCCCACCGCACTGTCGACTTAGGGTTGAACGGAATATAGTTCCCTCGCGCAAGCGCGTCACTATATATAGGCGTGCGAGTCGGACCCGTGGGTAGGTTGGGTTTGCCTGTCTGTATATGTTGCTGTATCTGTGCGCACGAACTTGTAGTTTATGTTTGTGCTTGTGCGATATGCTAACCTGCAAGTATCTGCCAGCACGAGCGTTCCAATTTATCTATGCTTTGTGTTTCCGCATTTCTCTCTGTATATGAATTTCAAGTGCACGCTGGCATGTGTGTGCGGGGGGAAGAAAGTGTAAGTCACCGTTGGAGTACGCTTGATTTCGCGTGTTTCACCCAACACCTGCCAAAAAGTTCGCCATAAAAGTAACATATTTGAGAGAATTTAGATTGGTACCGCATTGGTTGTTGAGTATTAGGGAGTTTTAGTAGATCGCTGGAGCTCCGCTTTGCAAGTGGACCTATAGTGCTGTCACTTCGAAGCATGGATTAAGCACGCGGCCGCTGGGCCCGCTTTCCGCAGCGTACGGTCTACTAAACCTTTCTATTAGCTATTGAGGTATACATTTGGCGACGTTGAGAGCGCGGAGACGAAACTCGGCGATTGGTGGTTCGCGCCACTACGCATACCACAATGCAAAGCGTCATGCTTGCATTGCCTAATGCCACAGCGCAGACTTCATTTTGAGGTCTAAACGGATGTTCCGCCTCACATACGCTGATCTGATTTCCTAGATCGCAAAGATTGGCTCTTTGAGTGGTTTTCGGGTAAGAAGACGCCCAGGCACTCTCAGTGTGTAGTATCACTCCTTATACATTTCGTTTGGGACAATTAGGATTATAATTATGTATGCATAATTAACTTTGGTATATTTAGTAAACATAAAGAAATAGTTTTTGTTATAAACTAAGTGGAAATCACGTAGCCCCATCATTTTGTTTAATTTGAGCGCGCGTTTTTTTTTTTTCATCTGCAGTTTTTTTTTATATTTTTTTTTTTGCCGCTTCATTTGTTCTTTGTCACAACTTTCTGTATTTGGAGCGCTCGTCAAGCGCTCCAAGTGCCTCGAGTTTGAATGATTTTGTGGTTTTCGATGAAGCGCAGGAAGTGTCTAATATAAATCATTTTTTTAACTTTTAATAACCAAAAGTAAATGCACAAGTTTAATCAAAAGCCTTTTCATCGGAAGCGTGATGAACCTAATGAATTGCCGCCACTGCAATGACCTATACTTTCTATACAGTATGCTTCCTCCGCGATGACTACATTTCGAGTAAATATTTGTATCAGTCTTCGGTAAAACACACGGTATATTTATTCGTCAAACTCGGCTTCCTTCCAGACGTTGTCTGTCAATTTACCTTTGTCTGCACTTTTCAAATTTCGAATGTTTTCTGTTTTCATATCCCCGTCTGAGTTGATTTTATGTATGGCTTTTCGAACCATTTATAATTCTGAATGAATATTGCATTTTTTCCTTTACAGCACTCCGCAGTTCGCCATGGCCTCGCTGTCAGAAAAGGCGTTGTATTTCTGGGACTGGCGGTGGTTGACGACTTCCTTGGTGTTCCTGATGTCCTTCCATCTGGTGCGTTTCTATCGCAAAGTATCCAAGTACCCCAAAGGACCTTTCCCTCTGCCTCTCGTGGGAAATCTTCTGAGTAAGTAATGTTGTAATGTTGGTTCGCGTACTCCGTATTACCCCAAAATACTTATCTTTTTTTTTTTTCTTTCTAGCATGAGTGAAGTGCGCATTGCCGAAGGCCCAGTCTTGGCACAAATGTAGCACTAGAGGTTCGGACCAAATTTCAAAGTTTCAGAACTAGTCTAGCCGTCATCTTAACCAGAAGATAGAGGCGCCTTTCCGAAACTCTCAATGAGAAAATGGGGCCAGTTTTGGGTAGTTCGTCCCAAACGTTCTTGGACACAAACGCCCTCACGTATGCGCTAAAATCATCACTGCAACTGGACGACAACAAACATCGCAATCTTCCCCCAAAATATTTTAGATGATAGTCAAAAAATATCATTAAGCGGTAATTAAACTTTCGGACGCATATAGGTTTTATTCCGAGGCTCGGCGAAAAATTTTTTTGCATTGAATCCCACGGGCCACATTCACAAAATTGTAAATGTCTGCTTTCCTTGACACAATATCATAATGTTCCCGATGACTGTGACTGCCTGTGAATCATATAAAACGCAAACCAATTACAATTTTGAGGAAGAGAGATAGAGATAAAGAAAAAAAGTGAGACAGAGAGAAAACAGGCTTGCGAAAGAGGAAATATTAACGAACATGTCCTTGCCGGAGGCCAGACGATCATCATTAGTTGGGAGAGGGCAGGACGGGATAACAGCTGATACAAGGAAAACATGTGAAAGTGAAGAGGATTAGTGATTTTCCAAAGCTGACTTCACGGCTGTGGATGAAGCCGCCACCTCGAGCGACTCAAGAGAGGCGGTAGAATCGATGGAAAGGACGGAGTGGGAGCCTCTTGATTGTGTCGAGCCCAGTGTTTAGAAGCAGGCGGAACAAACGGTATCAGAGTTGTCCAAGTATTGTCACCACGTTTTATACCATGGAATATCTCAGACAGTTGGCCATGGGCGCCTGTGATTTCCGTGTATTCCTGGAATTCATCAGTCACCATTTTCTTATAAAACCAGTTTTTGAAAATCACGCAACATTTGAATAAGAAAACGATTCGCTCTGAAACTGTGGCACCTGGTACACGCCGCTAGCGCTAGATATGGCCGGAACCTGAGTGCAACGATGCGTAGTTAATATTTACGACTAAAACAACGTAGTTTATTTTCTTGAGGGCGCACCATGTATGGCCAGGAAAGAAACATTCTAACGGTTAATAGCGTTTACGTTTCGTATACTCACGCTCCAAACACGCGAGCCTACTTGTCGTTTTCTTAATGTTCCGACGCGTCGAAGGGGTTGAATTTTTCTCGCCACGCACTCAAACCTCATACGCACCACATACGGGGTATTCACTTCGTAATATTTATTTCTGTGTATATATCTTTAAAAAAAAAACAATGGGCACAAGTTCCAAACAACCGTCAATATAAAATACATAAACCTCTCAAATCAGCGACGAGTTTACAAATAGGCAACATCCGCGTTTCACGCATAAAAGGACATTCAAATATATTAGGACCTAATTTCTGGGACTGTTTGGTAGTTGGGGCAGTAAAACCTTCTCCAAAATAGAGTGATATTATTCGATGTCGCAAATTGTTTGTAATTTACAAACTGAAAGTTCTGAAACACGTATACCTTGCACTCTAGAAAAAAGTCTGTGCGTCTACTTCCACGCACAACACTCGGAGGGCCTATCAGCGCAACGTACGGAGGAAGCTCAGGGATAGACGATGCCGAAACATATGTTTAGACGAAAAACGCAGTCTGAGTTGTGACATTAAGCAGTGCAGGCGTGAAATTTTGCATTGCTTAATGTCACAACTCAGACTGCGTTTTTTGGTCTAATCATATGTTTCGGCCTTGTCATTCGCTGAGCTGCCTCCGTAAGTTGCGCTGATTGGCTCTCCGAGTGTTGTGCGGGAAAGTAGACGCACTGACGTTTTTTAGAGTGTGTGTGTACTTTCAAAAACAGCAGTTTGTTATCATTGCACAGCATTGTATTTTTTAACAACGCTGCGTTACTTTCTAAAATGAGGGTGCTCCTGTAAGCCACCGAGCACGCGGAGGAATAATTGGTGGTCTTAAAAGGGCAGAAGGCGCAGGAAAACTTTGATATAAAACAACTGTCATGCAAAAAAAAAAAAAATCATGGGCCATTAGACTTTGTGAAGGTGACTGGCCAGCGAAGCTGCTTAGCACGCGACGCAGACCCGCCCCGAGGAGCTGGAGGAAACTAGACACGCGCGACGGGACCGCCATCCCGGGACAGTGGAAGCAAAGGAAGCTAAACACGCAAGCGCTTGAAACGACGACAGAGAGTGGGAGGTGCGAGCGTAGACATGGCCGACGCGGGTCGCACAGCGGAAAATGTTTGGGAAAGATTTATTATCTACCTGAGAGTCTACTGATCTTGAAAATGGTTTTTATTGATAACTAATCTACTGAATCGACCTATTCATAGATCACCCGAGCATGAAGGTAAATGTAGGAAATGGTGTTCCACGCGCCGCACGTGCCGGCGTCTGCAGGAATAACTGCTCTAAAGCAAAAGCCTAAAACTAATGGCATCTGGCACGTGCGTTCGTCAATGCTTTATTTTGATTCTTCACTTCGAATCTTTTATACGGGGAAGGCGTGTGCGTGCGCCGCATGAGGCGAGGCGAGCGTAGGGTTTTTGGTCACGCATACGAAAAATTCACGAAACCCTAGCCATAAACACTTTCGCTCTAAAAAAGTCTACGCACAAGCGCACAATGAGTACGCATTTTTTGATACTTATTGGCTCTCAAGCAGAACCGTTCTCTAGACTTCTTCGTTCAATGCACGAGCACCAAAGATTACGCCGACTTGCCCTAATAACCTTTCTTTGAGAAAAATGTTTCCAACATGCAGCTCTTTCTATTTAAAAGTAACTCAGATATTTTCCAGCTTAATTTAGCGGAGTAATTGTGACGTCATTTCACGTGAGACTGATGAACGTAACACCGTGACGTCTCGCTGCACTATGACGTCACAGGACAGTTCTCCTGGCAGAATCTGTGAAGCCAAACCAACAACTTCACTCCGTTGCTGCCACTCCCTCTTCTGACCTTTATAATGTGCGACCAAGTAATACCACGTAGAAGGCAAGGCCTACGCACGACGTCATCCTTAATGGACCTCCGAACCACCCCGAGTAAATTCTCTGTTTTGTCCGCATAACTTTGGCGCTCGTGCCATTCTAGGCTTACGCGGCGAGACGCCGCTCCACTTGAAGGCAGAACAGTGGCATCGAAAGTATGGCGACCCGTTCACGATGTGGATGGGAGAAAAGCCCATGGTGATGTTGAACTCGTACCAGGTGCTGAGGGAAGCCTTTGTCGACAAAAGACACGAATTCGCCGGACGTTTTCCGACGAAGATAGGTGAGTAACCCGCAGGGGTCTAAGTAATCAGCCCGCAGCGCTACCATTGTGGTCCCCACACATGAAGTGTCTCACTGTTTTTTTTTTTTTTTTGAGGGAGGGGGGTGGGCTAATAATTTCATTCTTTTATGTATATTTATACGACTGATGTCAAGATGAGCGGCTGTCATCAAATAATACCGGCTGTTTCTGCGAATATTGAAAAAATCCCACAAAAAGCAAGGTCGAGAAAAAGAAAATCTATTTTCGTGAAAAACCTCGCAGCCACGACGGACATTGGGAATTGCAAAGAACACCACAATTAGCAAACTAATTGACAAGAGTTTACTCAATCGCTTTTTAATTAGCGGAAATAAATATGTTGATTCAATAGGAAGCTTGCTGAGCGTCGTGAAAAACTTTTAAATTCGATAATTTTATCCGACAAATAAACCTTTTAAATCCGACAATTCGAGGACTGTATATTGTGTCGTGAGCACGCGTACCATAGACGGTGACGACAGAAAAGGTGCAGGGGTTATTTATTATTACCAAACATAAACAATGCGCCTACATTAGCCGCTCAGTAATACAACAATAAGCAAACCGGAAATAACTGATTTGGGCACCCACACGCTTTAAAAAGGATCCGGCGGTGTATACTTTTCCTGTAAAAACGGGTGCAATGTGATGATTGTAAACCAAGACTGAAGCAAAAAAAAAAAAACACGTTCTTTTTTTTTTTTTTTACAGTCGAAAAAAAAAGTAAAAGGGACAGACGTCGTCTGTCTCTCTTACATTTTCTCCCAATACAAGAAGAAAAAATATTTCCTCCTTCTGCCCCAGTTTGGGGTTAAACTAATCATTCTAATATTCCACCAGAGCGCCTGCGCACGGGCTGTAATTTTGGTAGTGTGAAATAAGTCGCTCTAATTATTAAACAAAACACTCCAGTCAATGAGGAAGCTGCACTAAATATATCTCGGCCCAGAAATGCTAGACGCTTTATTATACGAAACAAAACGTCATGCGCAGTATCAAAGTCTATTTTGGATTTTAGAATGAGCACTTGCTTTTGGCTTCGACATTATCTAACTAATTTTAAGCGAAAATGGCAGTTGACTATATTCGTAGTTTCTGCGAGGAAGCATGCCCTTTGCCCTATTCTGCGCATGAGCTTGACTTGGTGTGCTTTTCTAGGTGCTCTGCAGACGCGTAGCAACCACGGCATCCTGTTCGAAGATTACAATCCAAGTTTTAAAGCCCTCAAGAAAGTTACGCTGACTGCAGTCAGGTACGAATGACTCTCAAAACCTGCTATATTGCTGTCATCACGAAGGCTAGACTGCTGTGCAATAAATGTTTTGAAACAAATTCGAAATTGACCAACTGAGCCTTGTTTTGAGAAAGCTAACATAACTTTCTCGAACTAAAATAGTTATGCTGCTTAGGAATTGATTTTTGTAACCAGAGCAGTTGCTAGTACTTGAATAACTACATCAAACAATGGCAAGCACTTAACTGCGTGATCAAACTGAGTATGATGGTCATAAGAAATGCTCGTCTTCAGCAAAGCCATTGTAATCAAGTAAATTACTGTTATGAAGACAGAAATATCGCTAGATTATTGCGTTGCATGCGTGAAACGTTTTAGCATTACAAATGTTTAGCGATACACGACAGTTGTTCCTAGAATGAATCGGTACTAGCGCTAATCGGGCTGATGAACTTGGCGATCTTCCAGACCCTTCCATACTCTCGAGCGCCTCTCCCTCAACGCGCACAGGAGGCCGAGCTGCTGCTCGCGCCTACCCCTCTGGTCACATTACCTCCCCGTTAACCAACCAGCGTCGAGGACCTCACTCCTCCTCTCCCAACCATCAACCAATCAGCGTCGATCCCAGCGGCCCCGCATTTATGCAGGCATCACTTTTATCTGGTTTCCAGAAGTGCCGACCACCTAGCCAAAAAACGTTTCATGTTAATATTCGGATACGCTAGTTGACTGGACATTGAAGGGACCTTCATCTCCAAAGTTTCATAGTGCATTAAACGCCGTATCTAAGGAGCGATCTTTTTAATTTGTTTAGAATAATAATAGTAGTAACAGTGTTTATTTCCACTATAAGATGATGGTGGCGATCAGGAACAAAAGCTGTGAGGTACAGTTTGACGGGTTCCTGACCGCCTACAACAGCAGCGACAGAGTGGGCAAAATAATAAAGCAATCAAAAGAGAAACACAAATGTACAATAAATGATCGCTATAAGAACATTTTAAGCACAATACTTTAAATTATCATATTGTTGACATATAGGGCATGACGGGCAAACAAAAAAAACAAACAAAAAAACAAGCTCATAGTAATAAGAACTAAGCACGGAGTAAGGAGAGCAACTACACTAATCATCAGTGATAAAAGTGTGACCTCACTTCACTCAACGATAACTTGTCCCAATCAATATCTTTAGCTCAGAACAGATTAAATAATTTAGGAACAGCGTAATTCAGCGTTTGTGTGCCATAATTTGTTCTCGGTGTGACCTCCTCCCAACATTCAGCTGCGCGGGTAGGGTAACTATGAATGTGTTCCGAGATTTGTGCAAGATTTATAAAAAGAAAGTTCGCATTTGTAACTTGCTCCACTTTTAGGCTAGTGGCAAGCCTGTGATCATATAATGTGTGGGCATTTATGACATGAAATTTTTTGAATAAGTTGGCTGCTTGAAAGTCAGACGGGACATCTCCTATGGCTCTAAGTGCTTTCTTTCGCAACACATGCAGCTTTTCTAGATTAGTAAAAGCCGTTTTACCCCAAATATAAGTGGCAGTATATTAAGTGGGAGTAGAATAAAAAAATATATAATAATAATTTTACTTTTCCTGGCAAAATATAACGACGACGATTTAACATGCCCACAGCCCGGGATAGCTTTAGAATAAGGTAGTTTATATGATTTTCCCGCGACATAATTTCAGAGATGGTAACACCTTAGAGCTTAAATGAGTTTACGATTTTAATTTTAATAAAATCTGAATTTAGGTCTTTTTTGATGTCTACAAGTTTATTTTAGGGCGAAAGAGCACGGCTTTTGTTTTCTTTACATTCATTGGCAACCCGTTGTTCCCACTCCATAATTCTAGCCTAGACAGTCAGGTTTGCTGTATCAATTAATGTATCAATATTTTTTTAAGCAAAGAGTATACTTGTGTCGCCAGCGTAGTTGACAAATTTCGCATTTGTATTAATATTGGTGATATCATTAACATATACACTAAGAAAAGGAAATGATTTAAAATACTACCTTGTGGTACGCCAGAAGGAAGAGGTTTTATGGTGGAGGAGTTTTCATTAATACTGACATATTGGATCCGATGTCCCAGATACGACCGTATTAACTCTAAAGCGTGACCTCGAATTACATAATTATCTAATTTAGAAAGTATAATTTGATGATCAAGACCGTCAGTCGAAATTCTTAGTAAAGTCTATGAATATTTCGAGGGCCATCATTTCCTTTTCAAAACTTTGCAAAATGAATTCGTTTTGAACGAGTAGGGCATATTCCGTAGATGTGTGCTTTCTAAAACCGTACTGCAACGCTGTTATCAAGTCATACTTATTAGAAAAGTTGGTTACTTCGGTATGAATGACTTTTTCGAGTGCCTTGGAAAATACTGGCAGTATTGAGATGGGTCTGTAATTTCCCATTTCATTTACGCTTCGTTTTTTATACAATACTGAGACTTTCGCAATCTGCATTCGCTTAGGAAATACTCCTGTGGCTAGAGAAATATTAAATATGTGAGTTATCACAGGTGCTAATAAATCAATCACGTGCTTTACAGGCCTTATTTGAATACCATCCACGTCACAGCTCCCACTATTCTTAAGGTGAAAAATTACACTCAACCCTTCTGGTTCGACCACAAAATCTAAAGATATCGTGTCACTGTTTCTTTTATCGCTAAAAACCGCAGCATTATTTGTTGTAGACGTACTCGCAACATTTACAAAATGTTCGTTGAAAGCATTTCCAATGAGCAACCAGTAAGTTCAGTGCCGCTATACATAATTTTTTCAACAGAACTGGATGGGTGATCGCGATGATAAAGAGAGTCTAGCAGCTTCCACATATGACGTCTGCACGACCCTGCGCGGCATTGAAATCATCGAAATGATAACGCTGTCTCGCACGCCGTAGTTCCTTCGTTAAGTTGTCGCGATAGTTTTTGAATATTGATAGATCATTCTGGTCTCTTGACTTTGCGAATTTACCATATAAGACGGTTCATGTGTTAATTTTACAAAGTAGCTCTGGAGTTATCTAAGGTTTTCTTATGCGTTTATTTGTTTTTATAAGTGTGAAAGGAAAGTATGTCTTATACAAACTAAGAAATAATTCAATAAAAGTGTTGTAAGCACCACGGTCACTAAGTTCGCAAAGTATACTATTCCAATTTGTCTTTGACACAGCCATTTCGAAGGCGTCTAGTCGATCTAAAGTTATTTTTTAAATCAGTGTCCGCTTCGTTTGGCTGGCCTTTTTCGGAACGTTTTTAAGAGCAACAAATATAGGGAGGTGGTCACTCAGATCACAATCAATGACACCGGCCTTTATATATTCAACAAAGCTATTTGAAATGAACAAATCTATTAGCGTTTCCGACAAAAGAAGAACACGTGTGTGTAGGTCTATGGATAACATTTGCACAGCCATTTGCACTGATTAGCAATTTTAAAGTTCTTTTAACAGCGGTATCAGCACTCATATCAACGTTAAAATCCCCACCACATATTACAATGCACTTTTCTGTATTCACAAAAACCAAAGAGAGATTTTAAAAATTCAAATAACGACTCGACGTTTCCGTTTGGTGGTTTGTGAACCGCTGCAAAAATATGCTTATTATTACGTATACACAGCATTTCGTAATCAGGAGTGATAACACAGTAATCACTTTCTAATTCACAAAGAACATACTTTGTCAGTGTCACTAAACCACCACCATGCTTTTCAGTGCGATTTAAATACAATTTAAATACGGTATATCAGTCTCTTCGGTATGCCATGTTTCATGGTATACCAAAGAGACTGAGCATTATTACTTCAAAATTAACACAAAATTCGTCAAAACGCAACTCGAGTTCGACAGCTTTGTTTTTTGACGATCTAAGATGTAAATGAAAGCAGGTCGTACATGATATGTAGTCCTCACCAAGATTACTTTTCAAGTTTTGCGGTAGCACAAGGCCTTCATTTGGCATTAAAAATCAAGAGAATATACGTATATAGTATCAATGTCCACCCTTGAATAAAAAATTGCAAATAAATTGTATAAAAATGTCCTTCATCGTTAGACATTACATGAGATAATCGTTTCGGGGGGTGTAGGTCATGTGACGTCATTTTCCCCGCTAAGTGTAGGGGCGAATAGACAGACGGACGTACAAACGTTTGGGATTGAGGGGAGGGAGGGGGGGGGGGGGTTCCGTTAAAAATCATTTTATGCTTTAGAAAAATACCCTTTCCATGTCGCGTCCTGGAACATGAACTGCGGTGAGAGCCGTGACGCCGCACACTTTTCTGCACGTAGGCTGCTCAGAATCACACTGCACACAAACTATGGCCTTGTGTGACATCACGGTATAACGTGAAGTCAGGCGACGCCATGAGGCGTAGCAAAAAATAGCTGCCCTAAACTTAACGTATAAATATATATACATATATATATTTTTTTTTTAATAGCGAACACATTTCTCGGCCACGACGACCCTATGGGAAGCAGACATCGGGGTCCGCTGCGAAACTTCGCCAACAACTGTTGCTGTAACTGAAGAAAACAAAAATAGCGCACATCTATATTTTTTACACGTGTCACTTTAATTTGCAATGAGTGGGCCCAATGGTAACAAACTACGAGTTTCCTAACTGGTGGCTTGCTTGCCTTTCCCTGAATAGACTGGGTACACCTCGCCTTGATTTGTTTTTCTGATTTTTTGAGTTAGAGAGATTAGAACCTCACTTGATTTGGTTGGGATTATTTATATTCTCACCTTTGTCTACACAGGAAATACGCCTCGAGCGACTCAGTGGCAACACTCTGCGTTGAAGTGGTAGATACCTACGTGGACTCTCTACGGAAAGGACCGAATACTGTAGACTCCAAGGATCCGTTCATGTTCATTGTATTCAACATCGTCGGAACGTCCGTCTTCGGAACAAAGTATGAATGCGTTTATCAGAGACATATAACCGTTATTATGTCTTTGTCTAGAAAGGTAGAAAATATTAACTTTTTTTACCAGATTGGCAATGATCCTCTGCGAAGAGTCGAGTGCACGCGTGATCTTGGTGTATACATAGACTCTTCGTTATACTTTACTGTACATGTTAACAACCTTATAAATGGCTATTTGCGTAAGCTGCGACTAATTTCTAGAATCACGCGTGAGTTCTCCACATCAACCTGTATTCTACGCTTATATTTCTTTTTAATCTGGACCAAGTTGGAGTTTTCCTCTGTAGTCTGGAACTGTATTATAGTTCAACGAGCCAAGAGATGATTGAAAATGTTCAGAAGCATTTTTTGGATGCGGAGCATCTCTTGCTCGGGTCTATGTCCCGCGGCGTCGTAGTCCGCACTCACACTACGCATGCGCAACTCTCCTCCTTCCCTCTCTCCAACAGGTGCGCGTTACTCTCTCCGCTCTCTCTCTCTACCAGCTGCGTGCACTTCGCGTGCGTTCGCATCTACTCGCACCGCGCGCGCATGCGCAACTCTCCTTCTCTATTCTCCTCTCCTTCAAGTGTGAATATAAGCAGCGTTCAGTTCACCGCTGTTGACTCCACTCCGTTCTTCCGATGAAGTGTGATGGAAGCAACAGTCCTGTCAGTTAGTGGGTTGGCGCAAGCAAGCGTCAGCACCACCCCACAAACTAACAGCAACGCTACGTCCACTGAAGACAAAGCAGCGAAGGGCACGCGACGCTGAGCGCAAACGCTTGAAGCGAGCGGCAGACCCTGAACTACGGCAACGAGAAGCGGCGTCCATTCGTCAACGTCGAGCGGCGGATGCTGAACTACGACAACGTGAAGCAGCGGCGGTTCGACAATGTCGAGCAGCAGAACCTGAGGTTCGGGACCGTGAAGTTCAACAACGTTACTAACACCATTAATAACACCGTTAATAACGATCCGCGATGCTCCGCATCACCCCATGGTTCCCCTCGGGAAGATGGTGTAACTTTTTTTTAATTGTTTACGATCATTACATTGGTCGTACTGTTTATTAGTTTTATGCGAGACTCTTGGAACGATGCAAATGCCCTACTTTGAGTTCAAGACGGCGTGGGCGCGATCTTATTTTCCTGCATAAATGTACGAGGGGGGACCCAAAAGAAACCGAACTAAATTTGTTTGCACTTATTTATTCCCATTTCAAGTACAAACGTTCAATCTCCTTCAAAGTACTGTCCACTTGCACTAATGCACTTGTCTAATCTTTTAATCCATGTGTAGAAACATTGTTTAAATTCATCTTTTGTGATGCTTGACAGCGCCTCCGTCGTTTTTTTCTTCACCTCAGCAACGTCAGCAAAACGCTTTCCTTTCATTTCTCTTATCATTCTAGGAAACAAAAAAAGTCGCACGGGGCACGGTCGGGTGAGTATGGGGGGTGAGGAACAGGGGTCATACCATTTTTGGTCAAGAATTGTCGTACAGACAAGGCAGTGTGAGCCGGGGCATTGTCATGATGGAAAAACCAGTCACCCGACTTTCACAAATCGGGCCGCTTCCGCCGCACACTGTTGCGCAATCTTTTCAAAACCTCCAAGTAGAAAGCCTGGTTAACTGTCTGACCCTGCGGAACAAACTCTGAATGCATGACTCCTTTCACATCGAAAAAACTAATCAGCATTGTTTTGATGTTTGATTTCACCTGACGAGCTTTCTTGGGGCGAGGCGAACCTGAAGTCTTCCACTGGCTTGATTGTTGCTTTGATTCAGGATTGTAACCATAGCACCAAGTTTCGTCACCTGTAATAACTTTTGAAAAAAAGTTTGGGTCACTTCGGGACTCTTCTTTCAAAGCACAGCATGCTTCCACGCGACCTTGCTTTCGTTCAGCAGTCAGCAGTCGTGGCACGAATTTGGCAGCCACCCTTTTCATTCCCAAATCTTCTGTCAAAATTTGCTGCAATGAACTCCAACTCACTCCCGACAGCTCCACAATTTCGTCAATGGTCCGTCGTCGATCTTTGTTGATGATTGCACGAATTTTTTCAACGTTTTCATGTGTTCGTGCCGTGGAAGGACGACCGGAACGAGGTTTGTCATCAATTGACATGTCGCCATTCTTGAAACGGGAAAACCACTCAAACACTTGAGTTTTCCCCATGGAATCGTCCTTGTACGCCGTTTTTAACAGTTCAATAGTTTCTGTTCCACTTTTTCCGAGCAAAAAACAGAATTTAACTGCCGCACGCTGTTCACAGAAATCAGACATTGCAAAAACGACGCCCACACGAAACACTTGTCACTATAAACCCAGCCGCAACTAGTCCTAACCTTCTTCGAGGACGGAATTAGGCCTAATGACTCAGCAATGTTCGCTCTATCAACTCCTGGCGGCAAAACGCAGTACTGCAAAAGCTCTGCTTAAAAACGAATTAGTTCGGTTTCTTTTGGGTCCCCCCTCGTAATCATGGATTAATTGATTCCCCAGATCTCACATCTGCTATTAATATTCACGTTCCGAGTCGAGTTTCGCGGATTTCTCCAACTTTTCATGTTAATCACGATATCCCAACCAGTCCCATTACTCGTATTCAACACTTCTACAATACCCTCAGGGGAGCAGATATTGATGTTTTTAACCCAAACTTCGAAGCTTTTAAGACTTTTGTAACTAACCTGTGGAAATTTTGTTGTGCATCATTACCAAGGCGTCAAGCTGTTCATGAGCACAGAAAATAAACAAATGAAAGAAATGAATGAATCAGTGAATGAATCAGTAAACTCATAGAGTTGAACGCAAGGCTATTTTTTATTTTACAATACGTTCAAGTGTTGAATTGAAAGACGTGCTACGAAGATGTTCGCTTCTCTTATTCGCAATATTTAGGCAACTCTAATACCGGGTAAGAAACCCTTGGCGTGCCCTTATTTATGGCAGTCTGTATAAATTATAATCACATATTAACGACTGTTTCAACTTTCTATCCAGCCATGTCTTATAGACAGCTTTCCGTAGGCTTTCTAAAGATATTGTTTCAACCGAAATCTGTAGAGTACAGACGATTGAAACGCTATAGGATTTCTATCGCCAGGTCTGAATAGACTTTGTGACGATCACATTTTTATTTCTATAGACTAGAATCGATCGAATAATAATATGCAGTGCGGAGAAGCGACATCCCACCCCGTTAGAGCCTCCTTGCGGAGGCTGCTTTTTTCGACTATGTCAAATATCGCCTCCTGCAATGCTTTATAGTTGGGCATGCAGTTCACGAACCCCTTAAAAACGGGATTCCGTATAAATTATGTGCGAAAAAGGACACATACTTGTAATATGCTTTTTTTTTGTTGTTGTTGATAGTCTGTGATGATCCTCGTTCAAATGATTGCTGTTCAAGTGTACTCCGTTGCGTTTGAATATGTAATGTCTCTGTATAGGGGACATGGAGAGTTGTGACTGCATGTTTCCATGGATGTGTCGTGACAAACCTCTAATTTATATTCAAAAATTATCTTTCGCGAAAGGTAGACCTATTGTGGTTAGAAAGGGGGTAGAAACGTGGTTAAAAATTCGTTTTTTTACGATTTTTATACAATTTCTATCCAATCTCTATACACCAAGTTCTGAAGAAATCCTACAGAAAAAAACGGCAAGAAAGGTATAGACAGTATTTAAAAAAAGAGAATATTTTTTTTTAGAATATCTATAGCGTCTATGCACTATTTTCTATAAAACTTCTCTAGAAAGTGGATAAACATTTTTGTGAGGGTGGCGAGATCTCCGAATTTTATTATTGCCCCGCAACCAATGACACTTTTGCATGTGCCGATAAAAACGCCAAAAAACGAATCTAGAAGCAAAAATAATAAACCAAATAAGCCACGCCTCGCTTTCATTAAGTTACCAGTAACCATGGATATTTTAGACTGTATGAGGCTCTTTCGAGCCTCTCGTGATTCTATAATAGCATGACCACCCCATACAGGCGTGCTCTGAATAGGAAGTTATCCCTCCCTCTCTCCCCATACCTCTAAAGAGGTCTCGCAAAAACAATATTTTTGTTTTCAAACATTGCATTGTTATTTGTTCATAGCTTAAGATACGCCCTGCGTTCTAAAAGAAAAAAAAATGTGTGAGTTCTAAAGGTGTCCGAATACTGTTTTAAATCGATTGGCGCAGTGTCTGTCACTAAAACCGCTCGATTTTCCTTCGAGTAGGAAGGTTCCTAGGCAGTACGCCAATATCGGTCCTATATTGGTCCCATATTCGTAAATAATGTTAACAATATTAGTGCAACGTGGCGCCGTATTGGCGGGACATTGTGGGCCAATATTGGCCTTTGCTGTGGAGCCCATATTGACCAATATTAGTGCATATTTTCTAGCCAATATTTGCTACGATGACTTCCCCAATATTAACCAATATTAGTGCACAACTTTGTTTACCAATATTGGCTACACGAACTGCCCAAATATTTCTACACATTTTTCGTGCTAATATCAGCTATACGAACCTCCCCAATATTGACCAATAATGAAACACATTTTGTACCCAATATTGGCTACGCGAAGTTCCCCAATATTAACCAATATTGGTTCATATTTTCTAGCCTATGTTGGTTACACCCAAATCCCAAATATTGTACTATATTGGCATAATTACTCTAAACTATATTTGCCTCACCACTTTCCCCAATATTGCCCTATATTGGTTCCACACTTCTAGCCCAGATTGGCATCATGAACCTCCCCAATATTGCACTGTCTTGATGACGGCTTGGAGCTGTACTGTAGCAAGGAAGCGTGTAATGATGACATTCTCCTAGCCACTATTGGGCATCCAACTTTTCCTGTTAGCTACCAATATTGCGTAATTGTTTTTACCACGCTGCTACCTTTGACAGTTTAGGTTAATTTACATTTATAAATGTAATAAATGTTTTTTTCTTGTAGCGTGTTTATTATTTACAAACACAGCAGGCAGACAGGCAGGCTCTCCAGTCTTCGACACTTGACAAAGGGCTTCGGCGCTGCCCCACTTGGCCTTGTGTTTGCCCCGTTTGGCCTCGCACTTGACCCATTCAACCTGAAGGCCACGAGGCAACGGAACATGGCAAGCAGCACCAGGATCCCCGCGAATTACGATGCAAAGAATTCGAGAGCTTAGAGATAGCGCAATGGGCCCAGTGACACTGAACATTACGTTCCACTTGCTCACTATTCATGTGCACAATGTATTTTTTTTTATTTAATCGTAGTATGAGCTTCGTCTTTTGCAGGGATCCTGATATTGCTTGCCGCGATTGACTCTCTCTGTGTTCCGCAAAAAAATAAACGCACAATCTTTTTTTTTTTCAGAGTGTTGCTTTGTGCGGCTTTTACGCATTATCTAGTGTTCCTCCTTCATACATTTGTCTCTCAAATTTAGTGGTATAGCTACCAACTGTTTAGGAAACCCAGGAAGTTGCTTAATCCTCACGCTTACTTCGTGTTTCATTCATTTGAGTCCTAATCAGCTAATACCGCAAGCTTAGTTGGGAAGCGACAATAGGATGGTCAGCGACAATGAAGTGAAATTACGAGCTGACCTTTATCCTTGCAGGTTTGACAGGGAAAATCCTGAGGTGGTCCGGTTACGGCAAATTACCGATCGTTTTTCCGAGGTGGCACCCAATGGCCTACCCAGCGACATCATGCCCTGGCTCGGAATCTTGTACCGAAAAACAGAGAAAGCAATCGAAGGCCTCTTCTCCGAGTTCACTGAGTTAATCGAAGTGCTTTACAAGAGGGCCGTGGACTCCTATATTCCAGGTAAGTTCAATTTCGTCAAGATATATCCAGTTCCGTATTCGTCCAAATTTTTACGATGTTTGCTAATTTGGCGGAACATTGATTTGGGAATTCGGCAGTTCTTGATTTATCCAGAATGATTGCTTCTGCTAGAAACATCGAAGTGACTGGATAGCAAATCATATAGAAAGTTCAACCTTTGACTTCTAGGTACCGGTAGTATTACGATCTTGCGAAATATAGCAACAACAGTAGCGAAAGAAAATACTTGAGACGAACTGGCAGAATAGCGCGGCTCATTAGAGAGTTTTAGGGAACCGGAACAAAATACGATCGATAAACAAAAACGATCGATACCTTGGATCGGGCGTGTGGACCGATCGTGTGCCCTGAAACGGCTTTGGGGGAACCGTAATTGCAGACGATAGCAGACGATCGGGACAGGTCGCGCCCCCTGGCAACGGAAACCTGCATCCGCCTCATCGAGAAAAGACAAATCGTGTGTTTGTACAAATCGCAAAAACTCAAGTAAATAAAGATCGCACCCTAATTATATAGAGAACCAAAAATATAGTATACCTACTTATAGTTCGTCTCGTTTTTTTACTGGAATGAATGCGCTTCCGTAATACAAAACCTGGCGCACCACGGCGTGTCGCTCCTGGCACAGCGAAGTTCTAAAATGTTCGTCTGCTAAGAAGCAGACGAGCTTTCCGACAACATTGGCGCTCGATCTTTTTAACCATGACTTGGAGTTGGCTCTATTCAGCGAAAACAATTTAGAAAAAGTGATTTTGTACGACTGTCTGCGCACTAAGTGTGGCGTGAGTCTCTTTTGAACTTCCCGCTTTATATAAGCGAGGCACGAACGCGCGTGCCGTGGGGCCCGTGACTTGTGCAGGGGCACGAGGGAATAAACATTCTTTTTGGTTTGCCGTGACACGGAGTCAGTCGCATTTCTTTCGGGTGCCACCGAGCACCGATACACTAAGAGAAGGCGCTTGTTGGCGGCAAGGCATAGGACGTTCAACTTGGCATAGCTTTTGAGTATACAAAAAAGTTGTGATACCAGGAATGGTGTGCCAGCGTTTTTTTTTTTTTTTCTTTTAGTTTACCAGATTTATATACTTGGGGAATAAAATAATGCCTCGACCGTACATGGTAGCTTGTTTTCTAACAAATCATGCGTTCTCAGCGGATAAGATTTGCTGTTTTACATCAACCAAATATGATGTTTACACCAACCACGTCCTGATATGCTGAAACGGTGCCGAAAGCAAACTCAGTTTGGCTCAAGAACACGCTCGCGCGCGCTTATCATCAACATTCGAAGTCGTCTGCTAGCGATCCTGTCTCTTTCCCTCGAGGCCCAATGCAGATCGAGTATTGAGAAAGCTATGGACAAATAAAACTAGAAATATTAAATCTCGAAGAAAATACAAAAATAACCAAAATATAAACACTTTCTGAAGTTGATGCGGTCATTTTTCTTGTACAAAGATAATTCAATTCAATTTTCAATTTAATTCAATTTTTATTTTCAGATCAAGTCATACAAAATAAAGAGCTGGCCCACAAAAGCAGCATTCTGCTTGTATGTGGGGCCAGGCGACCAGCTAGAATACATGTTGTTACAAAAAAAAAAAAGAAAAAAGAAAACACTCCGCAGCACAAAAAAAAAAAAAAAAATTGGAGAAACCCAAAATTAGCACCACAAATAAATACAAAAAGGAAAACTTTAGAGCATGAAATATAGGTGTTTATAGCCAAGTCTGCTCACGCAACCATGAAATAAAAGTACGAAATATCTCCAACGGTTAGGCTACGATATCTACAGCTCAGATGATTGACACCAATTCCTTAGTTTCCTTTTTAGTACCCTAGTGGATTCTATATTCATAAGGTACTCTGGGAGTTCGTTAAATAAGGAAGGAATGTGATGATTTCTGTTTTTCTTTCCATACAGTGTGTATATTTTTGGAATGACGTATCTTACAGTACGTCTCAAATCTCTATTTTTATTTACGAGGAGGTCAATCCGTTCCTTCGCTCCTCGCAACGAGAAGTTCTTTTTCAACCCTGCGTCATTCCAAAGGGCTGGAGTGAAAAAGGAGTAGCGCCTAGCACCTCCCGAAGTAGAAAGATGTATTCTGTTGCAAACCGCTTGCGAGGAGGAGGCGGAGGGACGGAGCTAGATGCGGCGCTCATGTTGCTCTCTTACGGTACAGATAGCAGACGATCACGGTCGTACGCCCGCGTACCGATCGTTGCGCCGTGTGCGGTACGACCACGAAGAAAATATAAAGCAAAACCTGTAACTTTACTGCTGTGCACCTATTAAAACTATCACCCAATATTCAAAGGGCTCGTTTTATAGGATATATGTGATTAGCATTTGTACAGAAATTTTTAATTCATGCAGCATTTTTAAACTAAAAGGTATCCAGAGCCATGATGCAGAAGGCTGTTGCTCACTCTGTTGCCACTACAGAAAATCCTCAGTCATAACAGCAGCTGTAAAAAACGGGTGATAAGTGCTCGAAATGCACATCCAATGCTTGTAAAAAAAAAAAAAAAAAAAAAAAACTTATAAAATGTAAAAAAAAAAAAAAAAAAAAGGCTTGGGCCAGCGAGATTCGAACTCTCCACTGTCGCTCCTCTACGAGTTCAACAAATCGGCGCTCCAATCCACTCAGCTACCGAGCAGACGACTTTTAGCTACACTAAACACTAATTTATTTCAATTAAAGAAGTCGAACTGCGTTTTGGTCTTTATTCTTCTTCTTATTTGCTGACTCAAACTTTATTAACTTGCTGTCACACATGGCGCTCCTGCCGGGCACTGCCACGAGTTATTTTCTTCATGTTTGGAGCCACGGCACGCTCCCTCCGCCAGCGAAAGAGCCGTTTTGCTAACCAAGCGAGACTGTCCATGTCGGCCATTGGTCGTGCCGGTCGTGCCTTACGGTTCGACCAGCGCATTACGGTAAAATCGCAGAAAACAGGCGCATGCGCAGTTCGTACCAGAGGGCCCATCGTACCGTATCGGATGTGCAGAAACGGTTCCCTAAAACTCTCTATTGTCTTGCAAATGATACCGTATACCTAAAGATAACGTTCATTTGAAGCCGGACAGCCGTTGTAATTAAACAGCTTTCCCAAGCAAAGGATCAAAACGATTCGGATGCGTCGAATTCGCATTTCTTTTCCAAAATGAATTGCAGGCTGCGAAATGGCCTTAACCCTCCGGAAAAGGGCCGTATAAGCTTATGTACTCGGACAAACATCCGCAACAGCAGCCACGGTTTTCCGTCTTCTCCATTTGGCTCGATAAAAAGACGTTTCTGCATTCGTACTCGGCACAGCCAAAACTGCAGCTTAATCGAGATAAAACCTTATAGCGCTTCTCTACATTTACTCGTTGGGTACCTCGATCATGCCGCACACCGATGTTCCTGCACACTGGCTCGCGTCTGTAACGTCACGCCGCTGTGGTGACGCTACAGCCATGCGCAGACACCTCACTTCTTGCGAAACTCGTTTCTGCGCACACGCAGTGCACACACGTGGTGTGGGAAAACGTAGACTTGTCTGTGAACAGAGTTCATCTCGGCGTCACCACCTGTACTAGATTCGTGCTCGTTCAGGGACGCGGCAAGACCCGTTGGCCGCAATGGTGACGTAAGCTATGCTTCGCTGCGTGGATCCACTATGATAACGTTAAGGGGTTAGAAAGGAGAACACCTTGTCTTCCATGTATATTAGGGAACCGTTTTCGCACATCCGATAGGGTTCAATGGACCCTCCTGTACGAACTGCGCATGAGCGAGTCTTCTGCGGGATTGCACATCGTACCGGAGGGTCCATCCTACCCTATCGGATGTGCCATAACGGTTATTGGCTACGGCCACTTTGCCATCGGACGCTCATAACGCTCGTATTTTCACAGGGACGATAGGAAACTTCACTCACTCAATGCTGGCGGAACGAGACGAGGCACTTCTGCAAGAAAAAAGTGACGCCCAGCACCTCACCGAAGCCAGCATGGTCCAGATACTCTTAGAAATTTTCGGAGGTGAGAGAGCATGCACGTATTTTACCGAGACGGATATTTTTTTTTCTATTATTTTGATCTTTTTTTATTGTGCGATATTTATGATCGTTGTTGTTGATAAGGAATCGCTAGATTCAGTACGACATTATTAATGTCTCTCAATAGTTACCATAAAATGTGGCTGTTTTCTTCTATTGTGCATTAATGAATTACATATTTTTCCAGTAGCCCGTAGCCTTTAGCAATATATACATATCTAAAGAAAGCCAGCGGGACCCCAATTTCCTATCCAAAGGAGAAAACGAATTTTATAGTGCTCGTTATATTGTCACGGGTGGTGACTAATAAACAAGAAATAAACAGGAATAAATAAATGTTTAATGTGGCGAACTTGTGCCAAAAATAAAGAAGGAGACAGAAGAAAGCAGAGCGTCGCGGGCGTCGAAGTCGGCGTGTCAGCAGAATCGAGCGCTAGGGCGAGACTGACTCGACAAGGTCGCGGGCGGCCTCTTATCTAGAGTGCGTCGCTATCTCGAAGATTCGGCGAAAACGGTTCGAGCGTCGCGTGATCGGGGCGAGAATGAACACGTACTTTATAGAAAACAAAAGCAGGGATAAATGATAGAAGTTACGTACGGTACATGAATAAACGGGAACTTTCTGGAGGACCGTGACCGAGCGTTTCTTTCTCAGCCTTGCGCGCGGCATTACTACCCCCCTGGGGCCCTTGACAGGCAGTCGGCGTCATTGTGCTTCCGGCCGGACTTGTACACCACGGCCATGTCGAACTCCTGCAGTCGTAGGCTCCACCGAGCGAGGCGTCCGGAGGGGTCCTTCAGATTCGCCAGCCAGCAGAGCGAGTGGTGGTCTGTGACTACGCGAAAAGAACTTCCATACAAATATGGGCGAAACTTTGTTATTGCCCACACGACAGCGAGGCACTCCTTTTCGGTCGTTGAATAGTTCCTCTCCGCTTTAGACAGCGTCCGACTTGCGTATGCGATAACTCGCTCGGCTCCGTCCTGCACTTGGACTAGTACCGCACCCAGTCCGGTGTTACTGGCGTCGGTGTGGATCTCGGTTTCAGCAAACTGGTCGAAATGGCCAAGAATCGGGGGCGTCTGGAGTCTTCGTTTGAGCTCGTCGAATGACCTCTGGTGTTCTTCTGTCCACTCGAACTTTACGGCGTCCTTCGTGAGGTGTGTCAGCGGTGCGGATAGCTTGCACTGCGGACCCTGGGTGGGGAACGCTGCACGGGCATGCGGTACCCCGCACCTCCACCAAAATGTCACGGGTGGTGACTAATAAACAAGAAATAAACAGGAATAAATAAACGTTTAATGTGGCGAACTTGTGCCAAAAATAAAGAAGGAGACAGAAGAAAGCAGAGCGTCGCGGGCGTCGAAGTCGGCGTGTCAGCAGAATCGAGCGCTAGGGCGAGACTGACTCGACAAGGTCGCGGGCGGCCTCTTATCTAGAGTGCGCCGCTATCTCGAAGATTCAGCGAAAGCGGTTCGAGCGTCGCGTGATCGGGGCGAGAATGAACACGTACTTTCTAGAAAACAAAAGCAGGGATAAATGATAGAAGTTACGTGTGGTACATGAATAAACGGGAACTTTCTGGAGGACCGTGACCGAGCGTTTCTTTCTCAGCCTTGCGCGCGGCAATATATATATATATATATATATATATTATATAGCAACGGTGTAATTGAACTTACCCCCAGGCACCCCTGCTACTTCCCCGCAAACCCCTAAAATGTGTTTACTGGTGCCTTTGCTGAAAATCAATCTTGATGTAATTTTCGGCTTTTGTGGAAACAAGCTCGGATTGGAGTACGTCAAAACGCGTCGCTATATTGAAATGTTGACTCTGGTTCCATGCCTCGTATGTCAATCATTTTCAGAGATAGCTAAAATGCGCCTAGTATCCTCTGTACTATATACGTACAACTGTTACCTTCTAGCTGCACAGTCACAGGACTCTAAGCTACTTTTTGGGGCATTTCTCGACTTCGCTCAGCGTAAGCTTAGGTTTTCAAAATCGATGTTTTTCAGCGGCGACTGACACCTCTCTGGGAGAACTGCAGTGGTTATGTCTGACGATGACCCGAAAACCCGAAGTCCAGGCAAGGATCAAACGAGAAATTGAATACCACCTTGGTGAGGACAATAATAATGCTGTTCGTCTCTCGACTGAATTTTGTTTTTTTATCCATCTTAGGTGTTGAACGTAATATTACATTAAGTATGAAAACTATACTTTGTTTCACCGTTAGTCCCAGTGCAGCCGATGCAACGAATTGATCGGTTCAATCAAGCAGTTCCAAAAACGCAATATCATGGAGGTCGTTTTCTTTATGCACCTGCGCTATCACGGGCAAAGCAATCAATAGCAGTAAATGCGCCGTGACCTTGCGCTTTCATGGCGAGCGTTTGTCTTGGTACGTCTTTTAGCAGTTAGCTGCTCTCGGACGCATGCGGAAAAGAAATATAGCCATCCTTTTGAGAGCTCCCGCAGAAGATATACGGACATGTGACGTGACTCGAGCTTTATAATATTAGACATGTAATGGTTTATTTTCTGTTCGGAAATTAGAATGTAGTTTCATATCTTGGAATCCAGAGATCAATTAACAAAAACTGCTTGCTTGGAAGAAGAGCGTGTTGGTTTAAGTCATGGATGAAGAAAGTATAAAACAATAAAAACAGGGACAACACAACCACATCTTTCAACTAGCAACAGACGAGTAAACTTTCAAAAGCAAGCAGCCGACTATACCCAGTAGGAGTAGGGGAGAGAAGGGGGAGAGAAGGAAAGATAAGAAACGCGAAGTGCAAGTCAGGGTGGTAGGGCTATCTCGGATTTTAAAAATTCAACCTCAGTTTTCGTCAGCAGGAGGGAAGGGTTTGACACGTTGTTTTTTGCTGTGGTCATGGCGAATGATTCTATGATTTCCCTGCCGAATCTGCTGTCATGTCCTCCCAGGATTTTTGTGTCATCAAACAGGGGATGACAACGCAAACACGAACGGGCATGTATGACTATGAGATGATAAGAATCTTTAGAGGCCTTAGAAACTTCGTTGTGATGTTCGCGGAGTCTGTGATTGGTGCATCTGCCGGTCTGTCCTATGTATTGATGGCCGAAGCTCAAGGGGGTGGAGTAAACTTTCTTTTCTTTGCATGGGACGAATTTCTTTTCGTGTTTGACAGTGCAGCCTATCGGAATCCGGTTGTTGTTCACTTGCTGACAGAGTTGTTTAAGACGCATGCGGCACGAGAAGACAACATTCGTGTCGAACTTTGAGGCAATGGATTTTATCCGGTGGGCTGAATTGTGTACGTAAGTTCGACACGAATGTTGTCTTCTCGTGCCGCATGCGTCTTAAACAACTCTGTCAGCAAGTGAACAACAACCGGATTCCGATTGGCTGCAGTGTCAAACACGAAAAGAAATTCGTTCCATGCAAAGAAAAGAAAGTTTACTCCACCCCCTTGAGCTTCGGCCATCAATACATAGGACAGACCGGCAGATGCACCAATCACAGACTCCGCGAACATCACAACGAAGTTTCTAAGGCCTCTAAAGATTCTTATCATCTCATAGTCATACATGCCCGTTCGTGTTTGCGTTGTCATCCCCTCTTTGATGACACAAAAATCCTGGGAGGACATGACAGCAGATTCGGCAGGGAAATCATAGAATCATTCGCCATGACCACAGCAAAAAACAACGTGTCAAACCCTTCCCTCCTGCTGACGAAAACTGAGGTTGAATTTTTAAAATCCGAGATAGCCCTACCACCCTGACTTGCACTTCGCGTTTCTTATCTTTCCTTCTCTCTCCCTTCTCTCCCCTACTCCTACTGGGTATAGTCGGCTGCTCGCTGTTGAAAGTTTACTCGTCTGTTGCTAGTTGAAAGATGTGGTTGTGTTGTCCCTGTTTTTATTGTTTTATACTTTCTTCATCCATAACAAAAACTGCGACGATATTTTTATTCATTCCTCGGTCTCTGGTTTTCACCATGTTGATAGTTAGTTCACCCCATCGACATGATGTTTCCTCTTCTTTTTGAACAATTCTCTCTTTTTCTAACTTCCTACAGAAAACTGTAATGTCGTTTATTTGATGCTTCTTAACACACATATAGCATTACAATTCTAGCTTCATCCCTTACCTTTTTTTTTTGTTGCGTACTTTGCGTTTTTTTTTTGCGTAAAAGTACAAATGTTGCAAAAGAATAGGTTGAACAGCCGTTTTCAGAATATGCGAAGGCAGCATATCTTCCTCGCTTAAATTTACAAAACAAAATTGATAGATTTGAAAGTGTATAAAAGCTACAAAATAAAAATTTACATTTCTGGGTTAGTGTCGTGATGTATGAGTTGGTTCATGGTGAACGGAAATAAACAGCGCGCGAAATTAGACAAGGACGAAAGAAAGGTGCGAACGACACAAGCGCTGAACTCACAACTAAACATTTATTGAAAAAACACTAACGTAGTAAACCGCACTATCGCTTCAGCACGTGTCAAGATAGGCAATTTCTTTTTTGTACAGAAACACCGATGTTTGGCTGGGGCATGTATCTTGACCCTCTTTTGTTATTGCATACGCTTCCAATAATTCTATGGTAGTTTTATCTGCGCCCCTCCCGATGATGATGATGATGTTGTTGAATTTGCGCTGGCAATTACAGACAGAACAATGCAGAGGCAAGTGACCCCCAGCGGTCGACCGGAGTGAACACTCTTGTTCACGTGCCCTGTCATTAATCCATCGGCCAGTTTGGCCGATGTACACTTTTCAGCAGCTTAGTGGGATCATGTATACCACACCAACCACATAATCAACATACTTGTTCCTGTGCTTTGCGGCACATTGGCTCTTGCACCCAACCTTTTCTGCAATTCTAGGGCAGAGTTGCGCCAAATTTCGCGGTGCCGAAAGAACTACAGGGACGCCAAACAGCCCAGTTACCTGTTTTCAAATTGTGCGAGAGTTTGTGCATGTAAGGGAGTACCTGGGGTCTGGTTGTGGGTCTTTCTTTTTTCTGACTTAACCCTCCTTAAATTTTTTTTTAACAACGTCTGCGCCGCTGCCTGAATAACTGACGCCGGGAAGCCAGCATCTGTCAGCCGCAGTACCTGCATCCTGGGCGGTTTGACGTCCCTGTTGTTTTTTCGGCACCGTGAAAGTTGGCGCAACTCTGTCCTAGAGCTGCAGAAAAGGCTGGGGGCAAGAACCAATGAGCCGTAAAGCACAGGAACAAGTACGTTGATTGTGTGGTTGGAGTGGTGTACAAGATCCCACTAAGCTGCGGAAAAGTGTACATCGGCCAAACTGGCCGATGCATTAATGACAGGGCACGTGATCATGACTGGTCACTCCGGTCGACTGCTGGGGGTCACTTGCCTCTGCATTGTGCTGCCTGTAAATTCCAGCTCAAATTCAACAACATCACCATCATCGGGAGGGGCACAGATAAAACTACCAGAGAATTATTGGAAGCGTATGCAATAACAAAAGAGGGTCAAGATGCATGCCCCAGCCAAACATCGGTTTTTCTGGACAAAAAAAAATGGCCTACCTTGACACGTGCTGAAGCGATAGTGCGGTTTACTACGTTGGTGTTTTTTTTTTCAATAAATGTTTACTTGTGAGTTCAGCGCTTGTGTTGTTCGCACCTTACTTTCGTCCTTGTCTATTTTTTCGCGTTGTTTATTTCCGGTTACATTTATGACATGTGACCTAAGTAAACTATCATGTAAGGCCTGGATCTGCAAGACCTCTGCAGCGAAGTGGACTGGAGGATATTGGGGAGGGTTAGGAAACAGACGGTTAAGAAACTCACAATTGATTGAAGAGTGACAATATGACGCTCCAAGTTTGTCACACTCTGCGTTTCTTAATCTGACAGTGACTCTGATTGTTCGCCCAAGTAAAATAACGCGACCAACTGTCCTAAGGCTTACCTAAAGAATTGCAAGAAGTGAAAGTAGGCAGTCGACCTGGATTGGGAACCTCCTCATCTAAACCCCTGAGATGCGGATACAGAAAATAAAGGATGACAGAAGAGAAATATATTCAATTCACAGTAATTAAAGTTGCAGTGTAATTCAAATTTTAGACTTGTTTCTTCAGACGGTGATATTGAATATTTACCTTCAAGGTGTTTATTTTTATTTGAAGCTTTTGATTGGTAACGTTTGATTATGTTAGAATGAGCCCGGTTGGATAATTTGTATGCTAGTGCGGTAGTAGGCGCAGCATAATGCCATTTCGAACAGTCTGCCCAGACTTCCTATTGTCTGATTTCGCCCAATATATTACATTCAAAATACATTTGTCTTTATAAAGCAATTTTAGGTGGATGCTTTATAATAGGGATCTCCCAGGTGGCCCGCCAGAAGAAGGCCTAACCAGAGATTCAAAATCCTATGGGTCAAACTTGGGCCTAATACTGCTTTGCTCAAATGCGTTAGTTAGTGGCAGGGTACTTTTTGGGGTTTCTGTGGCTTTTTTCTGGCTCACGATATAATTGCCGAAGTTTCAGACTTGAGCCGACGATGCCAATCATGAGCCGAATTCACAACGGTGAAGTCTAAATATGGCACTTAATTGTTTGGTAATTCAGAGCAAACGTTCCACACGAAAACTGAACAAACAAAAGTGAAGTCTTACTCTGTCATTTTGTTTGACAAGTTCAAATTTGCCAAATGAGATTCCAATTAGTAGCCCTAAAGCTCGACTTTAACACTTATTTGGCAAATTAGAGCCAATACACGAAGACCCTGGCTAAAAGAAGTTCAAGTTTGGCTCTAGCTTGCCTTCTTTGGCCCATTTAAAACCCTCAATGTCCAGACAAAAATCAAATATTGGCTCAAAGAACTGTGCTACCTGGGCCCGTTCTTCCAGGTCAAACACCGCCGACCTTACAAGACAAGGAGAAACTCCCATACACCGTTGCCTGCCTCTACGAGACACTTCGTTTTTACCCCATTCTTCCCATGGGCTTTCCGCACAACACAACTTGTGACACGCATGCAGGTGAGTGCGCTCCTTAGCCGTCTAACACTAAGCTCAGATACGATACCAGTGGAATTGTTTGGTCCCTCCTTCCCCATTGAAATACAGAGATTTGCAGCCATACGATCCATATTGCATCACACCAAAATGGTACATGGCATACTACTGTGCAGTCGACTTATAGCTATACTAAGCAAACCCGAACTTTCCAACGTTATAGACAATCATCGTTGTATTTGGAGTGGAAACTCATTGTTTCTGCACTAAAAGCTCTAGGAACGGATCGTTATAAGCGGTACATCGTTATATATGGTATCGTTAGAAGCGGATTGTACTAGACGCATTTTTCTCAATGATGAGCGCACGGGGCGATTTGATGATTGGCCATGGTTGTATATTATATTTTGAACACCAGATGGAAGACAGGTCGCTTTGTTTTATTCATTGCGTCTTCAATATTCAGTCGAAATAGCCATATCTCAAATTAAATAGTCGCGACGCACAGCACCGACAATCCCACGTGAGTCAAGATGGCGGTTTTATGGGAGCGCATAAATCGGTTTCTTAACTCATCGCGCTGTATTTTACTACAGAGGTGCTCGAAGTTGGTGCATTCATTAATTGAGAGTATGAATGCATGGAACGTTCGAAGAAAGAAAGAAATTAAATAAAAACTGGTTTTGTCTATGAAAAAATATCGCTAATCCTTTTTTCTCTCAAAACTCAAGGCTATTTAGGCATTTATTACGACTGAAAAAAGTACCATAATTGGAAATAAACTGCAATTGGCTTACCTATTCTTCACTTTCTTTACCCATATAAGCGCCACAGTGACACGAAACATGTTTTAAGTGTGCATGCAAAGTATACGGAGAACATAGTTTTAAATGTTTCGAGATGTACTCAGGTGAGCAAACCTTTCTACAATTTTCGCGAAAACTTCCAGCACCTTCGGGCACCTCTGCAGTAAGTCCTAGCGCCGTTCGTTAAGAAACCGACTTGTGCGGTCAATTCAAACAGCCATCAATTCGTTTTATTCACGCGGTGTTTTGTGTGTTTTATGTGTTTAAAACGCGTTACAATAAGGTTTTTTTTTTAACATTTGGATTATAAAATTCTTTAACTTTCAAACTCCTCTTTATAGGGGCATTTCGTGTGGTATCATGGGATATAAACTTTATCGGTCTGTATCGTGTTTTTTTTTTTTTTGCTGTTTTTTTTTTTTAGCTGAGTAAGGCTGATGACTCAAAAGGTTCCATACATACAGGCGGCAAGTTCATCCCCAAGGACACAGGTGTTTTCTACAACATCCACGCAGTGAACCACGATCCCGCTCTCTGGAAGGATCCAGATGTCTACAGACCCGAACGCTTCCTAGATCCCGCGACAGGGAAGCTGAACCTGGAAGGCCTGCCTCCGCTCCTCACGTTCGGTCTGGGCCCCAGGACGTGTCCTGGGGAGAAATTAGGTCACGTGAAGATGTTTTGCGTGCTCGTGCGGCTCATGCAGCGCCTCAGCTGTAGCGTGCCTGCGGGGACCTTGAGCAAGGACATAAAAGAACTCGGCTCCAGTTTTTTCCTAAAGGCAGCAGTACAGGAAATTGTTTTTACACGGCGGTACTGAATGATGGTGCATTAAACAAAATTCAACGCCAGTTCACAGACGTGTATTTCGGCACAATAGTGACTTTTAGGGAAGGATATCCACGAGCTTTGCGTACGCGAAGAAATAGCGTCATCGTCACGGCACTTGTGCCAAGCTCAAAACCGTGTTTTAAATAGGCTCATGACGTCGATTTTCTTTTTTTATACGTTCTCAAAACACATGGTCACTCGATTCCAAGACTCGCTAATTCGTTAAATTGCTCAGAAGCAAATACGGAATGTGTTAAATACGGTGTGAAAGCCGTTAGTGCAAAGTTACCCCACGAAGTGCGCTCGCAGACGACCGCAGTCGACGAGCGAAAACGTCGATAGCGAGGGCGGTTAATCAATTGGTGAGCCAAACTCGCTGTTGGCGTCTGTGAGTTCGAAATCGAAAACGACCGTTACAAAAAACGTCGCGAGGTCAGGCTGCATCGTAGACGTGGCTCTAGAAGCACCTACAATCATAAAGAATCACCTAGAATCCCCTAGAAAACGAGGTCCCCCAAAACGTGGATCACTGGGGGATGCAGGCAGTTCCTCCCTCGTGTCAGAATCGCCGCCAACGTGCCTTGCAGCGCCACACAACGACCGAAACTCTAACACGTGGCGTCGCCAGGGCGAACGCGTCTGCCACTCTGCGCCAACCCTAGTCGAGCTTGGGCGTGTACGGCGCTTGGGGACGGGATGACAATCAAGACGACGACGTAGTGCGCAAGTCATGCCTTCTGTAGTCGGCTACAGGCTAAGAGTTCAGGGGTGCTTTCTCACGCCCCTCCTTTACGCTTTAGCTGAGCAAACGCTGGAAAGGACGCGACCTCCTCTCAAGCGTTCGCTCTGCTGAAGTAGAAAGGGCTGGGAGGCTCGAGTTTTCCATCAATTATCTGCCTGTCACCAATTGTAGGTGGTATTGCATGGCCGGTCTTCCAGCGTCTCGCCTGTCTACTGCAACCAGCCGAAACGCTAAGTGCCTATACGGGGATCATACACGCACACGCGCAGGAGGAAGGACAACAAAACCGGACAACGAATACAGCAATATAGAAGACATAATAATTTAAAAGACAAACATCTCGGATAACGAGGCTACGTAGTGCTGTATTTTCGGCTACATCTAAGGAGGCCAAGAGGGCACAGGATAAACACGACGTTTGTGCGAGTGTTCGCGTGGAACCCATGTTGCCATTGACTGAACATGAGTCACCGCCAAAATTAGCCGACTACACGTATTGTGTTCAATTCATGCCCTGGTGTCCTTCTTTAGACGACGTTGAAAATTCAGCAGAGTTACTTTGTTATATGGGAGCGGCTGGACAGAGGCAAGCTAGCTAACAATATGCAGCTCGTATACTTGAATGCGCATTTTCTTTTAATTCCTCTAATAACGTCAATATCTTATTTTAGTAATCTCACGTGTTCTTGTTCATTTCGATTGGGCAGGCAGAAAAGGCTAGTACCTCACAAAGTATGCTGGATTATTAAATGTCGAGCCTGACAGATAATAATGAGCCAGCCATCCGAAATTAAACTGTGAAAGTCGCTGTGGCAGCGTTATAAAAAAATTTTTTTGTATAACTTGTGACTGAATGGAAGCCACTTTTATATTTTTCTTTAATCTAACCTGCCTAAACGTGTTTCACACGTTTATTTGTTGTTTCTCTGACGCAAACATTTGCTCTTTAAACATTGCCCCCCTTCTCGCCACACAAATGGCTTCAGTAGCATGCCGGATCTTCTGAACTTCATGACCGGTTTCTTCTTTGTCGATACTTTTTGTACAGCGAGTCTGTATACCTCTACCAGCCAAGGGCATTTTCGCGTCGTCGTTGTCAGCAAGAAACTCCCGGCAAACGATTGAAGGCAAAACAGCATAGCTCCTTGTAAATCAGGCATACAGCATACAGCTCAGTATCCGTTTCAATAAAGAAAACCACAAAACAAACATCGAAACCACATGGTGTATGATAAGGCGCGTGTGAGCAATAGGAACACCCTCCCATGCGTTCCGGTAAAGATTAGGTTTGCAGCTGCTTCGAAAGGGGTTGACGTCATTCGAAGCCCTCGTGTGAAGTGCAAAAAGCTGCCGCGGCGACGGCAGCTTGCGACGTGGGGAGTGACGTCACTAGCCTTTCGTATATAAAAGAAGAGCCCGCCTATAGCCCGTTTCACCTTACGTCCGGACGCGTAGCGGATGCTACGCGGATCCGCTACGCGCTATCTTAGCCAATCCCGTTCTGTGGGCGTGTCCTGTGATGCGCTTTCCGCGCGTCGCTGTGCCCACTCTCTAAGGTCACGTGAAACTCACACTGCCTCTCATTGGCTCCGATGGCTCGTAACATCCGCTTAAACGTAAGAATGAACCGGAGTATAGGAACTGATTTCCTTGTTGCTGCAGCACCGCGATCAATAGGCCAGGCATAGTGAGGACTCCCGAGGAGCAGCGTGAATACTAGGAGAGGGAAAAGAAGCGGACATACGACCAGCGGCGGCGTGCCGCGACCGGCAGCGGCATTTCGTACACTGCAGTAGGCAATCGTTGCAGGGGATACCACAGATTCGCTGACCATTCACCCTCTCAGCAGGGATTGGAGCCACAATATATTTGTAACATAAATCTGTACTTGTGAACCGCTTACTTCAGGCTCCATATAGTTGCTGACAGCTTAAGGAACGCACTGTGTGGCGAGTTTGCGGCATCAATGGCCCTTTCGCAGCCAATGAGATCGAAGCGTTAGCCGATATGACCACCCAAGAACAAATCACGCGAGAATAAATTGACCTCCGCCTGAAATCAAGCTACACTCGCAGTCTTTAGGCGACTGGTGGTCGCTAAAAAAATCCGCTTGACCCAGGGATCGAACCCTGAACCTCTACAAGACTAACGGAGTGCTCTGTCAACTGAGCTAGCCAGGGGCTAGCCATTGGTAGAGCAAACGGATGCTAACAGTTGTCACCTGTCTTCATCGTGGCCGCCGCAAGGGTAAGATCAGTTAAATGATTAGATAGAATGATTTAGGGGTGGGGGGAATGGGGGGGGGGGGGAGGGGGGAGGCCTCCTTATGGCGGAGATTTACGTAGGAATGAATTGACTTCCACCTGAAACAGAGCGCAACTTGCGCCATCCAGGTAACTGCTCATCACTGAAACTAATAAAATCCGCCTGGTGCGGGTATTATCATCATCATCATCATAACTATTTATTTTTGTTGAGGCACCGTGGGGCATTATACAAGGGGGTGGCAATGGAACAAAAACAAATACAACAGTAAACACAGTTATAACACTGTAAGCTAGCTAGGTATGTTAGATAAAGAGAGGGTAATGGCTCCAACAAATTTAGTAGTATCATTAATTAATAGGAACGATGTTGTGAGGTAGTAAATTCCAAACCTCGACGGCAAATAGTAGTGCGGAAGTCTGGTGAGAAACAGTTATTGATGATCGAAATGGGCGTAAATTACATAGGTGATCTAGACGCGGCAAAATACGATGGGAAGGTAATTGCTCTGATTTACTGAGGTGGCTATTGTGATAAAAAATTCGATGGAGGAGAGAGAGGCGTGATACTTGGCGGCGAAGAGAAAATGAATGAAGATTAGCTGATTGGCCTAATCCTGATATGCTGAAATATGGTGAGTAGTTGTTTTAAATAAAACAAAGGGCTCTATTTTGGACAGATTCTAGAATATTTACGAGGTAGGACTGCCATGGGGATGATATATAGGAGGCACGTTCTAACTTCGATCTTATAAGAGAAGTATACACTAGTCGTTTTACGGACGGTGTAGCAAGTTTCAGTTTATGGCGCAAATATCTGAGAGACCGGTTAGTATCAGAAATAACAGAAGTTAAGTGAACAGTCCATGATAGGTCAGAAGTGAGATGAACACCTCGGTATTTATAAGATGAGCATTCTATTACTTGAGTGTCAGGGAGGTAATACGAAAATGATGTGGCACGCGAAAAGCGGGAAAGTGATAGGGATCTACATTTATTAAAGTTTGACTTCATCTGCCAATTTTTACACCAATGAATTACAGACTCAAGGTCTTCCTGGACAACATGATGATCACGGTATGAAAGAATGGGTCGTAAAATAGCAGAATCGTCGGCGAACAGGCGCATAGAAGAAGCTAAAATAAAGTGTAGATTATTAATATAAATTAGGAACAGAAGGGGGCCGAGTACGGTTCCCTGGGGGCACGTGAGGCTACGGTAGAGGGGGGAAGTTTTACGTTGTTAACAGAGAAATGTTTCTTATGGTTAGTTAGAAATTCAGAAATCCACTTAAAAACAGAGGTGTGAATAATAATATTGTTAAGCTTTGTTAAAAGACGTTGGTGTGGAACTTTGTCGAATGCTTTGGTGAAGTCGATGAAAATGGCGTCGGTCTGAATGTTCGGATCGAAGCTTGAATAAATATCAGTAACGAAGGTGGTTAGCTGGGTTGCACACGAGCAAGATTTACGAAATCCGTGCTGATATTCAGAAAGAAGGTTATGAGATTAAAAAAAGTTTATTATATTTGAGTAAAGTATATGATCCATGAGCTTAGATGGAACACTGGTGAGAGAGATGGGACGGTAATTACTTATGAGCTGGCAATCACCAGTTTTGTGAACAGGTACTACGTTAGCTATTTCCCAGTCACGTGGAACTATGGAAGGCGTGAGCGATTTTGAGAATATGTCACAGAGGAAAACGGAGGAAATGTTTTTAGTGTTTATTAATACCTTCGATTTAATTTGGTCGTCTCCAGAGCTCGAGGAGACCTTTAGGTTGTCTATTGCTTTCGATACGCCTGTGTGGTCACTTATGATAGGATTCATCTGAGGGTGAGATAATGGGCATGAGTCGAGCGTTTAGCAAGTCTTCTTTGGTAAAGATTGATGCGAAGAAATTGTTACGGTAAAGAGCGCTATATTCATCTGAAAGTGGGATGCCGTTGTCGTTTAGGAACTACAAAGGAAGAGACAGAGCTGGGTTGACCACTTTCGAGAATTTATTGGGTTTATTTGTTAAAATGCTGGGGAGGTCGTGAGTGTAAAACTTGGCTTTAGCATCAGTAATGGCGTTTCTGTATGTTCTAGCACATGCATGATATGCATTCCACGAGGCTGAATGGTTGACAGACTTGGCTCGTTTATAAAGTCACTTTTCCTTGTCAGCATGACTATGCAATGTTTTGTTATACCATCGGGGACAGTTATCGGAGGTGATGCGGGTCAGTGGCATGAAGCGCTCAACTAAGTGGGTCAGCTTATTTTGATAGTGCGTCCAATTTTCATCGACGGTTCTTTTCTCGAGATTAACAAAAATTGATTGGTAAAATTCTTCGAGGCATGAGTTGATGGACACGTAGTCGGCCCTCATTTAGTCGCGAATGTATTTGCAATAATGTGATTTCCGAGGAACAGAGTTATGTCGATGACAAAACGGCCGCTAATTCCTGTTAAGTAGGTAACGTTGCTAAAAAGAGAAGGTTCCTGACTTAAGCACAAGCCGAGTATATTGCTGCAGCAGTCGGTAATCCCAGTAGGCTGGGTGATAATATTTGTTAGGCTATAATCTATGCAAAGATCTATAAATACTTGAGAGGAAGTGCAAGTGTAAGTGAAGGTAAACCAATTAATATTAGAGTAATTAAGATCACCAAGAGGTACAACAGAAGCGTTAGAGTATTGAGTAGCGAGTTCAGAAAGACACTTATTAAGCTCAAATGTGAATTCCTTATTACTATCAGGCGGCCTATAACAAACGCCGAGTACAACAGAGGGTGCCGTAGGGAGGTAAACCCATATGACTTCTAGTTCGGTAGAAAGTGGAAAGTTCCGAGACGTGATTTGACTATTAATATTCAAAAGTACGCCTCCGCCCTTTTTAGTAATTCTGTCACATCTGTACACACGAATGTTTGGATAAGAAGGGAACAATTCAGCATCTGATATTTCGGAATTCAGCCACGTCTCCGCAAGAACAACAAAATCGGCGTTACATGTTTGAATAGAGGAATTCACATCATCTCTCTTTGGGATTAGGCTTATAATCTTAGTAAACAAACCAGAATAAATAAAATATATCTTATTGATACCATGGGGTTTAGTAGTTTCATTGTGAGTGGGCAAACGGGAAGAACGCCGGCATTGCTACGTGCATCTTTCAGCAACCGAACCGTTAGCGTCATCGAATACAAACCACTTGCCATCTATAAACAGTTTATTGTGGCGCAGCGGAAAAGGCGTTCCCTTTGGTCTGGCAAAATCAAGAAGACGACGGTACGCAAGCCTTACAGAAAGTGAAGCTCTTCGCTAACTGCAACGCGTGAGCCCTTAAGCTTGTGCATAAAACCAAGAATGCCCTATTTTCCTTTGAACGATGAAAACTTGACAAATATGGGACGAATTTTCTGCAGATGGAATACTCCTAAACGGTGAGCTCTTTTTATCTCCGGGAGATACAACTTTGATACCAAGTTCCTCAGAACACAGTCTTGTGGTCAAGCCCTGGCAGAGATATGCGAATGAAAATAGTACAAATATGGACTCTTTTCAAACGCATTGCTTAATATGATGAAAGAATCTATGGCAAAGAAATTTTATTGCATTTACAAGAATACATAAAAAGCTTTTCATGTAAACGTATAAAATTAACAATATTACATTTTCGAAATAGGTATAGATACAAGTTTTCATTTGATATTTTTTATGCCTTAACTAATTGTACATCGATAGACATTTCGAATCAAACTACGGTTTGAATCGAGATGGCTTTACCATTACTGTCAAAGGTGCAAGATTCAAAAATGCTTATTTTATAAAATAAAATAAAAAAATACAGTTTTAGTTAACCCTTCTATATAAAGTATTAAAGCAGTAAAAAAAAAGAGTTATTATTGGTGTGAAAAAGATAATCTAAATGTTGCGAGCCTCCAAAATGTGTCACTAGTGAAAACTGCAAGAATCACAGCACCTACCTTCTGCCCTCTCAAAGCCGAAAATTCAATGACAAAAATATTTTCGTTGTCCTTATTTGCAGCTTTGTTCTAGTCACGCATTTACCACCAACATATATTTTTCTTAGCTTTTTGAGGACTCGAACATTTTTTTCTCGAACTATTTGAGATGAAATCACTCAGAGGCCGGGAACGGAAATAGAACTTCTCCAGCCTCATCCTTGGATTGATTTCCTAAGGTTCTGGTATGAGATGTATTTTGTCTCGTGTATCTCGTGTGAGATGTGCACACTCATAACGTGTATTTTGGGCCGGTTGCACCAACGTCGCTTAGCGCAAAGCGGAGCTAAGCCGGGAACTTAAGCTTAGTTTCGGTTTCGTTCGGTTGCACCAAACTCGCTTATCGCTAAACCTAGCACTAAACTACGCTTAACTTAAGCGCTCAACATTGGGCGCTTTGCTTCTGGTTGTTTCTTAGTCCTGGATTAAAAACATGGCGGCTGGTTTGTCACGGTCGACGCGGTGGACGAAATTGGTTGTGCAAAGTGTTTTAGGCTACATCATCGTGAAAGTCTCGACAAAATGACTTTCGATTGTGACAAGGATGCAAAATATTGTCGCGTGAAGTGTTTATCGACCCCTGTTTTCAAGTTGGCTCTCCACTTTCAGGGCGTGTTAGCCCTAACCGAGAAACGTACGGAGCTGTGGGGCTCACGTCTGTATTCCCGTTGGTTCTTCTGTCAACGAGCTTATTCGTATGTACTTACTAATTTTCGCATAGCTGTAACGTATTGTTATTTACCACCTTGTTTTTTTACACTTGTAGCGCGTATCCTTCAATCTGATCAGCGCGTTGAATAGTGGCAGTACATGATCTCGGCGATCAGCTGATTGTCGACACCTCTGCCGTTTGCATTAGATTGCGGCGCTTTTAAGTAATAAAACAGCGAAAATTCAATTTCTTTCGTTTTCTGAGTTTTGAGACAATCTTCAGTGGAATTTTCCTTATCTCGCGAGTAGAATCTTGGCTTCAGAAAACTGTATCGTTCCCTAACTAACTTTTTCGGTGATCGCATTTCTTTTTTATATACTTTGCTTTATATCTTTCATTCGTTTCCCGAGAAAGAGATACTGTTGTTTCCGAGTTGTGCTCTGTGATGGTGTTTTCCCTTTACTTTTGTCGTTTGTTGTCATTGTGACGATGGTTGAGACTATATACCGGAACACGTTTTCAATAAAATTCAGTTGAAAGTTGCGCCTTGTTGTGTCGTCCGTAACTTTTTTGGTGATCGTGATTTTTTAGGAATATTTTGCTTTATATCTTTCATTCGTGGCGACGACAAATCGTAACGACTACTATGTTAGATTCGTTCATTGCTGTATCGGGGCAGGCTGCGACAGGTGATGCGAAGAGACGACCGTTCTTATCGGCACGATGTGATATACTAGTGGGAGTTTTTTTTTTTTTTTTTCTGAACTCGACAGTGTGAAACTGATGTCCGTTTGAGGCTGCAGCGGATGTTCAACGACGGTACAGTGCAGTTCTGTCACCTTGCTGATAGCAACGAGTACCGTCGATGCAAGGTCTCGTGACCTGACCTCTCGACGACTTCTATTCGACGATTTCCGCTCATTTTCGTAGCTGCCGTGGCGAGTTCGTCACTGTTTTGAACTTCATCGCTCTCAGGCTTGACTTGGTTTTAGTAGTCATCTTACCTGCCTACTTATATCTATGATGTTTTGTCTTCAGCGATGTAGCGAGTAGAGTGTCCTTCTCGCGTTCGGTGAGATTTGGGGCCCCCGATGGCTCCTTCGCCTCAAAATGTGAGCACGAAAACTACTACCACTGTCAAAATATCCTGTTATCAACCGATATTAAACACACAGTCACAGATGTAAAGAGCATTCGTGTTTATTTGAAGCTTTGACTTCTGTTATTGAAAGTTAAACGAAAAAATGACTGAATTTGGAGACCTTTAATTTGTTACTCACCGAAGAAATACAGCGAAAAGCAGACGCCGACGACGACTACTACGGCAGTTTTTTGTTCTTTTTTTTTTTTTTTGTTTCCATCACGTGATTCCTTTCCGCCAATCGTATTCGTCACTCTGAGCGTTCCCTAGTTTGCTCTGTTTGTCCCTAGATTCCCTACGCAAATCCAGCGTTTAGCTAGGGGCGCGTCTGTAAAGCCGGCTTAACGTTGGTGCAACCGAAATTTAAACCCGTGCTTACCTAAGCTTGGTTTAGGGCGCTAAGCCGGCTTAGGAAAGTGCCGCTTTGGGTTAAGGTAAGCGGCGTTGGTGCAACCGGCCCTTTATGATGCAGTAGACTGATCTCTCCACGCGTTCGGCGCATGAAAGAAGCACTTTGGGTCACAAGAAGCAGTCTGCAGTGCCCGAAACGGCTCGCGCCGTCACGTGCTCTGCACGTGCAAAGTTCCAGCCAGGTTCGGTCACGTGCACAAATACTAAAGTTCCCTGGATACGCCGTGGCAGCGGTGGCGTAGTCAAACTGGCTAGTGAGATCGGTCGATTAATTGCGGCACTGATTAGTGCATCAAACGACTCGCTCACCTATAAGCAGCGTCAATTAAATGAATAAAAAGCAGCTAAGGAGATGACGGGCCCGTGGCGGCCTGCCACGGATTTCAAACAGAGCGAGCACGACCGGGAGTTCAAGCATTAAAAACCAACAACGTCGAGGGTGAGCCACAAATACAATCCGTTCGTCCCTATGTTGACAGTGCAACGGGAGCTACACGCTCGCAGGACCGATCAACCGCTGCCCTTCCATTACCTGACCCTGGTCTTTGAGTGTGATGTGGGCTGGAACGAGCTCACGTGCACGTAGCCGTCACAACACCTTTAGCTTAGCGTCCTCTGCCATTAGCTCCGCGTCACACAAGGTTGCGAGGCTCCCAACCACGGCAGCGAAGATATTCAAGGCCTCCGGTGACGGCAAGGAGAACGGACACTCTCTCCGAAACGTGTCCCCCTCCTTCGTTTCGTGTTTCCACGCACTCGACGCCGGCTCGCCCCGTCGTTAGCAGCCCTCGTGCGCCTTCTCTCAGCGGGACAGCGACAGGATATTGCGACAGCGGAGCCTTCAGTCGACACGTGGAGCGGAGCGACGCCTACGTCGGTGCGTATATATGTGGATAGTAGTCCGAAGCAGTACGCTCGAGCGTGGTTGGCAGCCTCCAAATCCCCATGCGCCCACGTTTCAGTGTCTGCTTCTGAACCTCACACTTTGTGATATCTGTCTGGCGTGTGTGTGTATGCTGATCTATCCGTACGCCAAGGCTTGCTTGTATGCGGACGTGTGTTTGTGTGAGGTGCCAGTATACCAGTCTAAACCTCTGCTGTTTCGTTATGCGTTTCATAGTGGGTTTTAGCTTCTAAAGTCACTAAGGCCGCAAGAAGCGCAGGGGGTCCCCAGCATGTTAATATTGCTTCGCTGCCAATGAAAATGCGCGATTGGGCTATAAGGACGACGAAAACAGTATCCCGTTGCGAGATTCGCGAACATAATAACCGTGCCCCGCATTTGTTAAGGTGTCAGCAATTACAGAGCGCTCGTGTTTATGCCTCTATGCCTGTGCCGGTGGTGGGGGCGTTACCACGGAGGCTTTACTTATTCATTCATCATAACGCCGAGTAAAACATATTAAATACATAGGATGTTCGTAACGCAATTGTGACGAAATAATTATCAATATCTATTCGAAAGAGAGTCTGCGAATGCTGCGACGGCAACTGCACTCGTACGGGCTCAAGGCGAACAGATTGAAAATCTGATTTACATTTCGCAAAATTGATTTTGAGGCACTGACACCTGAAGAAAAGCAGGGCATGCTGCGTTATTACCATCAAGTTGGTTTGTGATTGGTCGTTCTGCGTTTTGATCGGCTAATGTCGCAATGTGATTGGCTGCTGAGCGATAATTAGGTGCTCGGGTCTCCCCACGCACTGCGATTCTTAAGTTACCAATCACCGCTGTTAAGCTAATTGCCATGTTTCCTTAGATAGCGTTGGAGCAGCTCATCATGGGCAGTGCATCTAGTACTCGAGTAGATCAGTGACCGTGCTCTGCGCGGCTATTTTGTTTCTCCAGCTTCGACACGGAGCACTACCATGATCTCGCTATCGGACAAAGTTCTGCTCTTTTGGGACTGGAGGTGGTTGACGACTGCCATTGTGTTTTTGCTCTCGTGTCACGTGTTCCGCTTCTATCGGAAAGTATCGAAGTACCCCAAAGGACCAGTCCCGCTGCCCTTCGTGGGAAATCTGTTGAGTGAGTGTTTTCTTCGACGTATCTTCCGCCAGCCTTTTTTTTTTTTTTTTTTCGCCAAAAGATACTGCGTTGCGTTCGGTAACGATTTCAGAAACACACGCAATTCATTTTCTTATAGTTATTATCACAGAGGGATAAATTAGCGCATACATTAATGAGCAACACATTACCAGTGTAAGATATGAGGGCAGAGTCTTGGAAAGGAATTGGGAAAGTGTATTTACATTAACTACAAACGTTAAGTAAAAGGGCTAAGAGGGAGTTAGTGGTGGCTGTCTTGACTGGCTGGAGGCTTGACAGGCACGAGACAGGCACCAGACCGGAACGCACGTGCCGTCCGGGCCGGGCACGAGGGCGGCTTCTTCGTCTACTCTCACCAGGCACGCTCACTTAGAGCGCGTCAAAGGTAATAGAAGGAAAAAAAGGAGATGGAGGATATTACGCGCTCACACCAGCGACCTTTTTGTTTCCAAATTCACTCAACGCATGGAATACAGTTTCTAAAGGGCGATCGCTTGAAGTTGCTTAGAAAAGAAACGGTCGTTTAGGGGAGTAACGAATATGTGTTTATTAATTTCCCCGTTCAACTTTGCAGTTAAATTGGTGGCATGTCAGGGCAAGGCACGTCGTGTCTATTTTCTCGCTAAATTTGGAGGCGAAATTTACTTGAGGCATTCTCACGTCACGCGACATGGTGACGCGACGTAGTACCGTACCTTGACACCGTGACGTCAAGACACGTGACATGATGTCACAAAGTCAGGTGACCCCGAGTCACACGACGTTTTTACGGAGCGTGACATCACGGTGCCGTCCTGGAGTCACGTGATATCCTGACGTCAGGTGACGTCAGTTTCTCCCTTTGCGATAGCGCGGAAGCGCACGAACGAAGGCGCACATTTCTGAGACGGTGGGTTCCGTTAAAAAGCCATTTCGTGCTTTAAGTTTTTCTTTAATGTTTTCCCCGAAATACACCCCAAACTCTGGTTCGCCGCAAATGAAACATCCAATGGATGCTACCCATATTTGTCTCCTTTCCAACACTTCTAAAAAAAAGAACGAGGAACAAAAGTTTCCAATTCTGTAACTTGAAAACACGCACAGACGTCACTCGAGGCTTGAAACCGTCTTTCCCATCGAGGTTCGAGGTAGCGTGGTGATTACTGACGCACATGCAGTCAGTGCCTCGTCCCCCGAACCGCGCATGCGTGCGAGAAAAAACATGAGGACAAAACATGTACGTCACTCATTCGCTCATGCGCATGCGTTTCCATGCGAACACCGCAACTTCTCAAGATATTGGTGGCCTCAAAAAAGTACGCCGCATTTAATACGGCATTGTCTGTGCAAAGTTAGCGAGCACGCCGCATACGATGCTCAATGTCTATAAAGCTGGACGGTTTTCGGTATTTTCTCATTTTATAAACAATATTCGTGACTCGCGATGATATCTACCGCAAATACCTTTATTTTCTTGGCAGAATGTGAGCAGCCGCCTGTTGGAATAAATGGTACGTGTCTCCATCAAATGCTTGCCATCACGCTGTGCGTCGTTTGATTCTAGGCTTACGCAATGAGACGAAGCTCTACAAGAAGGCCCAAGAGTGGTCCAGACAATACGGAGACCCTTTCACGCTGTGGATGGGAGAGAAGCCCACGGTGATATTGAACTCGTACCAGGTGCTGAGAGAGGCCTTCGTCGACAAGAGACACGAATTCGCCGGACGCTTTCCGATAAAGCTGGGTGAGCAACCTGAAGGGACCGAACCGAGCAGCTCGTGGCACCGTTATAGGGCAACGATGGAGGCGTGATGGCGCCTCGGCGGGCGCTGGCTCGTCCGACCCGCATTTTATGAATCTATTCGTAAGTACATTCATAAAACATCTATTTTATGAATATGAATATGTTACTACTCAACTCAGGCAAATGATGCGCGTGTCATTTATGGCTAATAGAATTTAAGACGCTCGCGATGGCCGTGGCAGAGGCTGAATATTCGTGCAGTTTCGAAAAGGGTTGGCCTATTTTGCGTAACCGCCTGGCTTAGAGCACTCCCTTGGGCATATATTGCTTGATACACGGTAACACTCGAGAACGCTGGTAGCGATGAGACAGCATGTAAAAAAAAAACACTGCAGCGTTACGCATTCATTTAGAACGGACACTAGACTCTGATATAACCATGCGTTTGGTTTCATCGAGCTACGAGTGCTGAACATAAAAATATTGGGTGTTAAAAATCCCAGTGGTGCCTTAAAATAGGTAAAGAATTTGGTACCAGCACCTATCCAAATCCGATTTTCACAAACGCTGTTTTTTATTCGTGCAAAGCACTCACCTCGCGAAATGGCAAGGCGGTGATGCGTTCCTCCGAAAAATCTGAACATTCTTGACATCGTCATTGCCGGACGCGGACGGAGGTCACCGTGATAACCGGAGGTACTGCATCGTACACCACCTCTCGAGTAATACAGAAAGAATGCGGCGACGTCGCCTGCTTTCCACCGGGTGTCATTGTTTGCTTCCTACGACCACGGAAATATGGAGCCACAACCAAAATCTCCGGGTAACTTTGTCGTTAGTGTAGGCAGTAAACGAGCTCAAAAATTACGTTTCCATTTTTTTTTTTTTTTTTTGTCAGGGGAACAATGTTGGTGGCTTGAAATTTCACGGACTAAAAGGCATTGGCAAAATACAAAACTACAGCTCTTATACAAATTTGAGATTGTAACCTGCAACCGCCGATTCTCCCGGATGATATTTGAACTAGCCCTAGAGTTTAATAAACACTGTGTGTATAAATGGGTTTAGCAGTAGTCGCTTGCAGAGATACCAGTGGTAAGGCGTGAAAGGACTTTAGTTGGTACAGCTGCTCGAAAAACGAATCCGCGCGTCTCCTTCATAGCGTAGCTCGCGTTTCTACGAAGCGCTGCAATGTGCAAAAAAATTCCCAATACGCAGTCACTTTTGGAGCTATCATGACTCAAAGATTCGGTACCTGACGCCACACTAGACAGAAAACAAAATGTCATGCTCAGTGTAAATTAATGCATACATCCGGTTTAAGAATTCACACGCCTTCCTAATCGTGTTAATAGAAAGTTTGGAGAGCGTACGCATAAAACTTCGTCGTCGCCGTGCGCCAATCTAAAACACGTTTCGGGCTCGGCGCTCGCGCGGTGGCGAAGACGCCATTTCATTTAGTGCGCAAAGATTTCGCGAACGCTATTCGAAAATTCGCAATTATCTAGTGCCTTTAACATTAAGACATTTATAAGCTCTCGATGTCTTCGTTCTCTTCTGGAAGGCCAATCCTTTTCCATTCGTAGTGCTTTGTAATTAGTTTGTTTTATTTTTCAGGTGCGCTCCAGACGCAGGGAAACCACGACATTCTGTTCGAGGATTACAACCCCACGTGGAAAGCCCTGAGGAAAGTTGCGCTGACGGCTGTCAGGTACGAATTACAATCAAAATCTATCAGATTACTCTGAGCGCGAAAGATAGAGGCTGTATAATGCACTAGCCGTTTTCAACCGCAAAGATAACTCCTAATGGAGCACCTGAGTTTTGTTTAAATTAAAAAAAAAATACTAGTTTTAGTTTTATGATTCGAAAAAAGATTTCACATTAATATATGCAGGTTAGTTGATAGAAGAAACTACACGGCATACCAGAAGTGCCTAACTACAAAACAAAACCAACAAACAAAAATCGGGGGTTTACCAGAAAAATGAACGAATGGAATCTGGCACGTACGCCCCTGCGGAGCACTGAGGATTAAGCGTGAGCACCTGGGGATTTCTTGACGTGAGTACGAAATCTCGGTTACACAACGCCTTCTCCGTAATCAGCCTCCGCCATACTGCTGGTATTTGAACTTGGTAGCTGGGGATCTGTAGGTTTGCGTTTGGACTCGGAGCCACCGAGCGGCAGCACTTCTGCGCAGTCAGAATGAGTATGATATGCATATTAATGAACTCGTGTTCAGGCAAGTGAGTCTGCACACGGAAGCTATTGCACCAATTGAGGACCGGCCAAAGCTTTTGTCTCAAAACTATTCCTCCCACAGAATAAGTTGGGGATCAGATTGAAGGGATTTCTTTAGTGAGGTGCATGGCTGTTAAGATAATTACGTTTTGCATTATCATTTGTTTGCTTAATTTGTGTATTATTCGAAATAAACATATAGCTCCAATTAGCAATATGGTGGGCATTATAAAAAATATCCCTATATTACTCAATTGTAAAAACACATGTACCGCAAGCTTCGTTTTTTGGTTTTTGTTTAGTCTTCAAAATGTATTTCACGGATCGGTATGATTTTATTATTTGTTTATTCGTATTTTGGTTTCCTCCGGTTTTGCGCCTGTGCCGAGTGCAGTCATCTTTCCGCGGTGCCACTCAGCTCACCACAGGCACTTCCATAATTTGCAAATATAGTGTTGTTGTTTTTTATTACGCCTATCAATCGGCTTTCTCAGCCTAAGTGTATTTTTTAGTACTTGTGGGTTACTTTGGTAAACCGAATAAAATACTAATAATTTCTACCATTTCTTCGCTAACTAAATTAAACCAACGGCAGAGACTATATCGTCATGAATTGTTTTTGTGCAATTTGCTGTTTTATCAAAAAAACTTTCACCAATATTAGGTCGAACACGCAATGGATAAAAAAAAAGTGGCGATAAAATTGTACGTGTTCCGGCACCTGGATAGACACTGAAGCTCAAAAAACACAAAGAAAAAGTGAAAGCTGCTTACAACTCCCTGTAACGAAGAATTAGAGCGCAGCTCTTGAGGAGGAGGAGGGAAGGGCACTGGGGGGGGTTAAACTAACCAGGGGGGAGGTCACGTGACCTTGGGGGTCACGTGACCCCCAATGCCGATGATGTCATCACTGACGTCACTGATGACGTCATCAGTGACGACGACGATGCGGGTACCGATGGCGTCATTAGTGACGTCACTGATGACTTCACCAGTGATGATGACGATGCGAATGTCGGTGACGTCATCAGTGACGTCACTGATGACGTCATCAGTGATGATGACGATGACGATGCGGATGTCGGTAACGTCATCAGTGATGATGACGATGACGATGCTGATGCCGGTGACGTCATCAGTGATGATGACGATGACGATGCGGATGCCGGTGACGTCATCAGTGACGATGACGATGACGATGTGGATGCCGGTGACGACATCAGTGACGTCACTGATGACGTCATCGGTGATGATGACGATGACGATGCGGATGTCGGTAACGTCATCAGTGATGATGACGATGACGATGCGGATGCCGGTGACGTCATCAGTGATGATGACGATGACGATGTGGATGCCGGTGACGTCATCAGTGATGATGACGATGACGATGTGGATGCCGGTGACGTCATCAGTGATGATGACGATGACGATGTGGATGCCGGTGACGTCATCAGTGACGATGGCGTCATTGGGGGGTCACGCGACATCGGCGGGGGTCACGTGACCTCAGGGGAGTCACGTGACTTCGGGGGGTCACGTGACCTCGGGGGGGGTCACGTGCCCCCCACGAGGTCACGTGACCCCGGTGGGGGGCTCGCGCGGTGCATTATGGGACATTTCCCATGATGCACCGGGGTCACGTGACCTCGGGGGGGGTCACGTGCCCCCCACGAGGTCACGTGACCCCGGTGGGGGGCTCGCGCGGTGCATTATGGGACATTTCCCATGATGCACCGCGCGGTTACGCCGACGCCGACGGCGACGCCGCTCAAGCCGGGAACGGGCCCCTAAGAGCTGCGCTCTAAAAGCCAGACGAAAGAAAGGACAGGACCAACGCTCGTTTTTACCAACGTTTTTACCCGTGTAATATATTTTTTGGTGTTTTGTTTTCCCTGGGAAAAGATTCCTTTTAGAGCGCAGCTCTTAGGGGCCCGTTTCCGGCTTGAGCGGCGTCGCCGTCGGCGTCGGCGTCACCGTCGCCGTCGGCGTCGGCGTCGGCGTAACCGCGCGGTGCATCATGGGAAATGTCGCATAATGCACCGCGCGAGCCCCCCACCAAGGTCACGTGACCTCGTGGGGGGTCACGTGACCCCCCGAAGTCACGTGACTCCCCTGAGGTCACGTGGCCCCCTCCTCGAGGTCACGTGACCCCCGCCGATGTCGCGTGACCCCCCGATGACGTCATCGTCACTGATGACGTCACCGGCATCCACATCGTCATCGTCATCATCACTGATGACGTCACCGGCATCCACATCGTCATCGTCATCACTGATGACGTCACCGGCATCCGCATCGTCATCGTCATCATCACTGATGACGTCACCGGCATCCACATCGTCATCGTCATCATCACTGATGACGTCACCGGCATCCACATCGTCATCGTCATCATCACTGATGACGTCACCGGCATCCGCATCGTCATCGTCATCATCACTGATGACGTCACCGGCATCCACATCGTCATCGTCATCATCACTGATGACGTCACCGGCATCCACATCGTCATCGTCATCATCACTGATGACGTCACCGGCATCCACATCGTCATCGTCATCATCACTGATGACATCACCGACATCCGCATTGTCATCGTCATCATCACTGATGACGTCATCAGTGACGTCACTGATGTCGTCACCGGCATCCGCATCGTCATCATCACTGATGACGTCATCAGCGACGTCACTGATGACGTCACCGACATTCGCATCGTCATCGTCATCATCACTGGTGAAGTCATCAGTGACGTCACTAATGACGTCATCGGTACCCGCATCGTCATCGTCACTGATGACGTCATCAGTGACGTCAGTGATGACATCATCGGCATTGGGGGTCACGTGACCCCCAAGGTAACGTGACCCCCCCCTGGTTAGTTTAACCCCCCCCCCCCCCAGTGCCCTTCCCTCCTCCTCCTCAAGAGCTGCGCTCTAATTCGGCGTTACAGGAAGTTGTAAGCGGCTTTCATTTTTTGAACAATAGATAACTTGGTTGACGTTCTCTGCGCTCACACGATGGACCTCGCTTTGATTTTGTTATCATCGCTTTGATTTGCCTCGACTTGTTTTTGATGAGCACTGGTAGATTTTTTTTTTTTTTAAATTTGAACTTACCTGACTTCATTCCACTTCCACCCTTGGGTACGCCAGGAAATACGCCATCAGCGAGTCCCTGGAGACCCTGTGCACGGAAGTGGTGGATGCCTACGTGGATTCTCTGGAGAAGGGACCAAATACAGTCGACTCCAAATATCCATTCATGTTCATTCTATTCAACATCGTCGGCACGTCTGTCTTTGGAACAAAGTACGCACCCATTCATTGAGTACCTCGTAACATTAAATGTGAGACTACATCGTCTACTAAGCAACAATGTGAACTTTTGAGTTCTCAGACGTAGTAATAGGATGTTCGCTACTTCCGTCTGACATAACAAAGCAAACGAAAATCTTAAAGTCGGACGCTCTTCATGTGTATGCACATGACCTCTCATATGCAGTTCGCTTGCAATACAAAAGCAACACCGGGGTTTCTTCGCTATTGTAAGCACGTTTATGCACGCTTCCAATGCCGCGTTATAATACTTTATTAATTATCAATTCAAGAAGAGTTGTCAAGTGCACAACTAAGGAGGCGTCAAGCTGTCGACCACCATTAATCGAGGGGCCCGCTTGGGTGCATCCTAATCCCGCGTTTCCTGCGCGTCGTGTGTGTTGCCCTTTGATTGTCGGGCTACTCCATGAGTTCCGATGAGCCAAGGACGCTTTTTGGAACACTTGCTCGCCCTTTAGCGAGCGAACAAATACAGTGAACACCATGACGAAGCACTTTTGGTACTGCGTTGTTAGCTCCATCGGATTGTAGCATCAGCTACGGCCGAACTTGGAGTGAAACCGAGTATCGACCGACTTGTATAACCCTGTAGTTAGGTGCGTGCCTAAATTGTTTCAGGTTTGATAAGGACAGTCATGAGCTGACACGGATGAGGCAGATTAACCGAGTCTTCACCGAGGTGGCGCCTAATGGCCTGCCCAGCGACATTGTTCCCTGGCTCGGCATCTTATACCGCAAAACCGAGAAGAAGATGGAGGCCCTCTTCACCGAGTTATTCGAGATACTCGACGGTCTTTACAAAAGGGCTGCAGGCTCCTATGTACCAGGTAAGTCCATTTTAGTCCAAAGCCGATGCGCTGTTTCATAGTCATTACGCCACGCTTTAGGACTGCGCTTGACAGACTGCCCACCAAGGAGGCGTGTTTCAACGAGTGATAATGCGTCCATAACAGTGGCTGTCCGAAAAGTTTTTTTTTTATTATTATTATTTTGGTGAGCTATGTAGCTTGTATAGTCGGGTGCTTGTAGTAATGACAGCCTAGTTTTTTTTACTTGAACAAAACTACTACAATTTCTAGCAGTCGACGAGGCAAAATTAACTTTTTGCCAATCGGTATATAATGCTCCGCGGTACGCGCTATTCCTAAACGCGTTTTTGTGCGGTAGCTGATAGGTTAAACGAACATTGACACGAAAAAAATAAAAATTGTAAACTAATCTATTTGGGACACATACTTAAACACAATTTCACAACAGACATCAGAGCAATATTTACGCCATGAGACGAAATTTATTGGAGAAGGTGGAGGTCACGGTACGCTCTAAACCCCGCCCAGTAGTTACACCCTGCTTACTACACCTCTCATTGGCTGGAAAGGTGATTGACGTGTGGAACAGAGGATGGAAAGTTGTTTCTCCTTTTGCAGTGATAGTCTTTTGTTCCGCATAATGTTTTTTTTTTTATCTTTGAAAAACAAATCATATAGATAGAATCATCAGTTTTCAAAAATATTTCGCGATTGCCTCTTCCCCTTTGGTTTCAAACATTAGTAGGCATGGCTTCCGGCGTTGGCGGCGGAAGCCATGCCTACTAAATGAGCTACGCTTCAGAGTAACGACACTTGGCCATTATGTGTCTGAAAATCATGGTTGCCAGTTATTTGAAGCTTTATCTGAAATCACAGGAAACGCTTTTCCTTCCTCCACAAATGTTTAAGCAGTTCTCGACAGAGCAAAGCGATATTACATGACCTTCCTAACACCGAATCTGATGCTGAGGAAGTCGCACTTTTGAATCGTGACGATCGGCAGTTGCGTCTGCTTTGCATACGAGCCAAAATGGCGGCGCCCACAACAATGTCGGGGAACGGAGTGCCGATACTCCAAGCGCAGCTCATTTAGTGGCTCTAGCGGTGACCAGTTTCATACACGGCGTTGCTCGTGGAGCTCGTCTATTTTTATGAGTGCCAGTTGTTTCGCGTTCACCGAGAGGTTTAGAAGATCTATCTCCCCGAGCGATAATATAGGGCGCCTGGGGTCACCAGGCTCGATCTAAAATGAACTTCAGAAATCAGCGCCTGCACGTAGCAATCTAAACTTTTTGTATAATGTGTATATGTCAGAGGTCGGTCTTATCCTGTAATACTACAAAGCGTTCCTCCCGTTCTATAAAAATAAAGGCCAAAACACTTGCCGCGGACAACGGCTGACGGTGACGCAGCTGACTGAGTCGAGTGGAGGGTCGCGTTTGGCGCGCGAAGTGATAGATGGCGTCGGAAGCAGGAAGCAGAAAAAAAGCACAAGACGCGCAGACCGAATCCGTCGGCAGCGAGAGCGCCGTCGTTAAGCAATCACGTTCTTTTTTTGTACTTTAAGATTTGTTTTTATTGTCCGCATTTATTTTTAAACCAAAGCTGCATAACATAATATATTACGTTTATTTTAATAGACCACGGTTTTGCGAGCAGTGCCCATAAGGAGATAGCGCCATCCATCAATACGTGCGCCAAACGCGCCCCGCCACTCGACTCGGTAGTCTTCGTCGCCGTCCGCCATTGACCCTGGCCAGTCTTTTGGCCCTATTGTTTTACAAAAAGGGAACTACTCTCTCTTGTTTTAAAATATAAAACCGACCTGGTCAAATGCACCTTTGGCGAAAAGTTTGGAATGCTACGTGAAGGACTCGATATTTACAGACCATTTTAGATCGAGCCTGGTTATATCAGTCACCCTATACACTCTAAAAAAAGTCTGTGGGTCTACTTTCACGCACAACACTCGTAGAACCAATCAGCGCAACTGACGGAGGCAGCTCAGCGAATGACGATACCGAAACATCTGTTTAGACCAAAAAACGCGGACTGAGTTGTGACATTAAGCAATGCAAGCGTGACGTTTTGCATTGCTTCATGTCACAACTCAGACTGCGTTTTTTGGTCTAAACATATGTTTCGGTATCGTCATTCGCTGAGCTGCCTCCGTCAGTTGCGCTGATTGGCTCTCCGAGTGTTGTGCGTGAAAGTAGACGCACAGACTTTTTTTAGAGTGTAGTTTCCAAGAAACAACGTCGAAAGTACGTGTTTTCAGAAGCGTTGTGCGGATGCTTGTTTTCTTTTCGGGATTCGCGCAAAACCTAGCGTCCCACATCAACTATTTCGCTTGATAGGGTTTTATTTGTTCGTTTGCGCGTTTTGATGCTGAATAAATATATTAATTCGGGTAAAAGCGGCCTTGCTGCTTTCTGAATCGTGCCAACATCATTATAGCGACCATAGTCTTAGTACTGAGGGTGTACCTTCCTACACAGGTAAGAACTTTCGAGACATTTGACCGGAAGAAATTGACTGTTTGCCTCGCATCAAATTAGTTCAGGTATGTTTCCGTCATTTTGCTTTCGAGGTATGTATCTCTCGAGTTTTGACCAGCACACTAGACCTGCCAAGCGATAATGTTTACAGTCGGTGACAGATCAAGAACCAAGTGGAGGCTCTTCCCACCCCTTTCCACTTTAGCAGAGCGAACGGTGGAGAGGAGGTCGTCTCCTCTCCAGTGTTCGCACTACTAAACTGGAAAGAGGGGGGAGGAGCTTCCACTTCGTTCTTGACCTGTCACGAATATAGCTCGCATTTTACTGGTGCGTCATAACGCTCGCCCTCCTTGGTTGTGGACGCTATGCAAGAAAACAACAAGAACAGAAGAGCCAAAAAAGCGCACATTTATTCTGTTGATTTTTTCTCTGTCATTTCCGTAACTTTCTAGCGCACCTTGAAAGGCGCTGGCATACGTTTGTATTGCACCCTAGCTCGTGTATGATGGAATGTTAGAGTACCACTTTCATAGTCGCGTTTGGCAGGAGTTCCAGATGGTCGTAGACGGTGTCGGAATAGAAGACGGATGCCGGCGATGGCGTACGGTCACGTCACTCTCATTGTCGCGTCTCACTGGCGTCGCTGCTGGTAGTGGAGCGTGCTCCGATAGCAGACGATGCCGTACTCTGCCGCGCGTCTACCCGCAACACTAGCAGACGGCAGACTAGGCGCAGCGGATGTCGCTACAAAAAAACCTTAGGCTTCGGATCGTGTTCAGCCATGCAGCCGATGCAATCCAGTAGGAACGGGCTGGGCTAGAGTCACTGAATGTTCCAGTGTACCGAAACTCTCAAGAGTCGCTCCAGAACCGGGTCACAGCGCACCAGTCGCGATCCCCACTATGGCGCCACCGTGTGCGTTCAAGGCGAAACGCGTACAGTGTAGCGTTCGTTCTCGTGTGCAGCTCTTCAGTCCACGTTCCTGGCCTGTGGCGACACTGGCTTTCCTTCGTTCCGAGCGGTGCGGGGCTTGCTCCTCCCGGTCTCGTCTCTCTCTCTCTCTCTCCCGCCTCCAAGCCAAGTGTTAGGCTTAGCGTCTGAGGCGTAAAGTTTGAAAACGCAGCATCCAGCGCAACCGTAGCGAGCAAACGGGCCGGTAACATTTTTCGGCGGACCAAAATAACGGTTACTTGATAAAAAAAAAAATATATCTAGGGAAAAATCAGCGTAGCCGTGGTAACGCAGAAACGTTTTGTATACATTTTTTTTTTCTGGGGGGGGGGGGGGGGGGGCAATCCACAAAACGGTTGACTGATAACTTCTGCCACGGGCTAAACCAGCCAGTCAGAACTGGATTCAGCTGGATTGACTTCCGGTAAGAAAACTGAATGGAATGCGGCACTCTGAGAGCATTCAGCGATTCTAGGCTGGTCAAGGAGGTAGGAAGCTTGTGGAGGCGACATGACGCCACCAGGGTGCAGCCGGGAATACTTCCTACATGTGACGACCCCACCCCAACGATGACTCTAACCAAACGACGCTATTGGACGAAAAGGAGAGCCGATTTGGTGCGAACTGCTGTTCTGGTCACCCTTGGGGGCATTCCCAAAGACTGCAAGCTCACTCCCAACATCACTTGTATTTTTCTCGTCTGGCTGATTGGAGCCGGTAGGACTCCTCTTCTTCCTGTGGGGCGAGGGCTGCGGAGCCACCGGTCTCTGGGTGAGGCTTAGAGCGGGTCGTGGTCTCCACCTTAGTTGCGTATCTCGGCGTTATTATGGCGCTAAATATTTTCAAAAGTGACCCAAAACATTATCATATATTTAAGATCGTTTATTTTTCCATTCATATGATTTTCCCATATGAATTACGTGTCCCGCTAAGATCTTTTTTTGTGTGTGTGTTTTTTTTTTTTTTTTTAGAAGCGCAGACCGTGCTTTATTGTGTTCGCGCTTTTTGCTTTGTGGCTCGTTCCAAGGAGTTCTTATTGTCAAATTCTACAATTTCATTGACTGTGGAGCCATCGAAGGATTCTTGGGACTCAACAAGCCCTGCGTCTCTTCAGATCCGAGTTACCATAGGCCTGTTTCTCTCGGTCAGGATGCGCTGTAGCATAGCCGCCTATATACTGACAAAGCCTGGCAGATCGCCACGAGAAGCCACCGTCGAAATGGAAAAGGTGCAGCGGCAGACAGCGCATGAGAAGAGAGCCACGTGACTGGCGCCCCGCTGCGGCGAGACGCTGAAACACATTTCTCCCGAGCGAACAAGTGTGTTTCGATTCATCGCCGCTGCAAAAGCTGTGCGCTGACGCCCAGGTTCCCCGAGAAATGCTCTGTGCCACCAGATCCTCGCGCTTCAAATCTGCGAACGGGCACTCTATGGCTCCGTCATCAAACTGCCAGGTTTTGTGAGTATAGAGGAGGCTGTACATAGGCTTATTTCTCTCGGCCAGAATGCGCTGTAGCGTCCACGAGACGCATCCACGAAAGAGACGCCTCCACTGGCGTCCCCTAGACGCAATCACTGAATGCTGACGTGAAGTGGCTTCTTAGCGTCTCTTCATGCGTAATCTATAGGCGCAAAGTAGTGTCTCTCAGTGTCTCTCAGCGTCTGTCCACGGACACGAACAGGGCGTTGTAGAGGACGTGGCACACGCACAATAATAACGTGACCTACAAATATCTGACTTTGCTGGCCAGTGGCGCTGCTCAAAATTTGAGTGCTGCAAACCTATAGTCATGACTCATGAACTGCACTAAAGCGTTTTCGAAGGAGGTGTATATTAGCACCTTGCGTCCGTCAGGAGCCGCTGCCGATCGCCCAGCGAACAGCGCCGCGCGCGGCCACTTTTGTGTCAGTGTAGGGAGAGCGGTAGAGCTCAGCCGCCGCTCCCGCTGCTCCCGCGCTTCTGCTGATGTGGTAGCCCAAGCAGGCGTCTCGACCTTACAACAGCCAGCGGTGTACCGCTGCAGTCGAGCTGCGACTGCCGAGGTCGCTTCCTGATGAGTAGGCACGATGCCGCCGCGAGAGGCGCGCGTATCGGCCATTGAGTTAGATAGGCAGGGTGCTCATTGCCTGTCAAAATGTCAGCGAAATGTGTTCGTTGGATGTGCGCCTACAGGAATAAAATCAAATGGTTCTAGCCGCCCTCTTAGAGATCGGTGAGAGAGGGACAGCACAATACGTTTCCTAGGAAGCGTTTTGAATGGTAAAATAATAGTATGAAATATCAACTATCAAGGGATGTAGCTGAGCTCAAAAACGTTCCGGAGCCCTAGTATATCTAAAGCTGAGGTTGTCACAGGCACTTTCATCATCGTACGTGGTCTCCAAACAGGATATAAGCGAAAGTATGCAGATGAATGAACCGTACTTGATCGAATGAATCAGCCTTTCGGCGGCTTCGTTGTCAGGCGTTCTTCGACACCATGTGGAGTCCCAGACACCTGCGGGGAGGGATTTCAAACGTGCCGTCTCACGACGATTCTGTGGGGTGAGGGAGGCGATAATTCTCTCCATGGTTGGGGTGCCCCGGATCACTGTGTTAAGAAGGACTCCGGCCGAGAGTGATTTGTTGCTGCTTCAAGTGCTGCGCCTGCCATCGGCAAAGGCGACAGACGCGGCCGACGTGCTCAGCCAACGACCTCGCGGCGGCCAGGCTGAAGCGGCGGTGAGGCACGCAGAACCGACGACTCTTCTTCAGGCGAGACTTCCGAGACTTGAATTAATTGACACATATTCCGAAGCTCAAACGCGCCTTTCGCCGACGCGGGATTGTGGTGTGTGCGCGTGCGTGTCTGACTCCGGCGCGTCGAGTGTCCTTGGACGAGGAAGGTGACCTCTACGGCACCGGGACGCCTGGGGATGCTGTGGCACCTCGGGCTGTGTGCTTGGGACCTCCGAAACATGTGCAACGTACAACTGCGAGCTTTATGACCAGGACCAAGTGAGGTGGGATGGATCTTGAGCATGATGGACGAAATAGGGGACAGCACCGAGGACAGCGAGGATTCCCAAGGGTTGTTTTCAACCGACGGGGAAAAAAGGGGAAGGGACGGAGAGACGGACTTGAAAGCCGGACTCGGCTTGGTTTTGAACGGAGCAATGCGTTAGACTTCTGGATTAAACCAACCTATTAAGCAACACGTTGTCATGTCGTCGACGGAGATCAAAGTCGGGAGCTACCATGAGGCCATCAGTGATCGGAGCACCCGGCGGGAGGAACCTATCTTTCGTAGACTTTGATTCATTCGGTCAAGAGCGGTTTATTCATCTGCACATCTGATATTAAAGTTGAGGCTATATGCTGACAAGTGCTATAAACTCACAGGAACCACAGGAAACTTCACGCACTCAATGTTGGCGGCACGAGAAGAGGCGCTCCAGCAAGAAAAGAGTGACGCTCAGTACCTCACCGAAGCCAACATGGTCCAGATACTTATAGACATTTTTGGAGGTAAGAACATTTCCATGCCCTTTAATTATTCCTGGCCGGCACTCTTTTTTTTATCATTGTCATGCCGGAAGAATCACCTTCACTTTTACAAATATTTTAAAATTTTAACATTGTTACATACAAAAATGCGAACACACTATATATATAGTTACAATATAGACCTCAGAAATTCAGTGTCTTCTAGTGGCAGAAATATCAGTTTAATTTTTCGTATGCTAATGGCGGTTCCTACGTCAAAGGCAGACGTACAGAGGGGACGGTATTATTTACAGCACAGTCCTTTGTCTACGTGCCTCAGTTTCAACGGGGACAAGTATACAGATTTTTTCTACTAAATGGACGTTTTTTTCGCATGAACAGTTTGTTAATGAACCCACACGCAAGGACGATACGGGCCATATCTTGTGTATTTTAATTTGTAACACTTCTGAGGTTGTTGAAAACACGCATACTGTCCTAGGTATTAGTCACCATAAAGCTCTGTTGTCTGAGGTCAAGTTAATTTTCGTAAGCAAAAGGAAATTACGTGAACGAATGGCATTTTCTCATAACCGAGCAGACTATGCTCGGTCGCAGGTTGAAACTTTGACTGCTTGAGCGTCGATCACCTACGGATGAAACTAAAGGAGAAACATATTTAGCTTGCGTGAAGAGTTCGTCCCACTGCGTGTGCTTACGCCAAAACGAGCACGTGAGAAGCCCTGGTCCACACGTGAGTTGCGTGTATTAATCGACAAAAAACGAACGGCCTTTCTGAAATTCCGTGAGACGCTTCTTTCGAGTGATCTCGCTAAACTAAAAGAATTCGCAAGACTGGTTCGAGACAAGTTGGAGCACGCTAAGGCTACGTTCCTTCCCAATTTAGAAAATAGCGTATGGCGTTTCCCAAAAAGAGTTTTGGAAACATGTCCGTAGTAACGGTAAAACAATCCTTCTATTCCGACGACCAGGCAGAACGATACTATCGTCGAAAACAATAATGAAACGTTGGAGCCTTTCAATTCATACTTCCGTTCAGTTTTTACATCTTACCAGTCACGTTCGGTACGCTTGAAAGTTCCAGCTGCGACCAACGTTATGCTCAAAGTTGTCTTTGGCGTGTTTGTAATTTTAAATCTATTAAGTAAGGTAAACACAACTAAATCGACCGGTCCAGATGATATTCCTGCGTGTATTCTAAACTCTTGTGCCTTTAATTTAACGTACTGTTGAAAAAATCGCTAAGCGAGTCTTTCTGCCTCCTTTCTGAATAGAAACTCGCTCGAGTAATACCAGTGCATAAAAGTGGTCCTAGAAATAGTGTCCGAAATTACCGACCGATATTGCAGACAAGCATTTCTTGCAACGTTATGGAACACATTCTTTATATTAATATCATGACTGATCTTAGTAGGTTTAACTTTTTCTATCCCTCGCAACACGGATTCCGTCGGGGCTATTCTTGTACCACACAACTACTTCTTGATTTTTGCATGACCTTTCTATGACAATCGGGCAAGCAACAAGCAACGCAGTGTTGATTGTACATTTCTTGAGTTCAGGGAGGCCTTTTACGTCGTTCCTCATGATCTTTTATTTCTAAGCTCCACGCATATAAAATTGATGACAAAGGTTTGTAAATTGGTCCTTGAGTATTTGTCGTTCAGAAAGCAAGATGTGGTTTTCAATGGCTTCCAATCTCAAATGGGTGACGTCACTTCAGGTATGCCGCTATAGGCTCTGTTCCGGGACAACTTACGTTTCATATTTATACAAATAATATTGCTCTTGATATTTGGTCTACCGTTAAAATGTTTGCAGATGATTGTGCAGTATATAGACAGGTTAATGATGAGCATGTTAACCTGATTTCGCAAAAATACTTGGACGACATTGAATCATGGTGTCAGTCATGGCAAATCACTCTGAAGAATAAAAAGAAACAGCACAACGTCACCTTTAAAAAAAACGAATACCACCAGCACTTAGTTATTCACTGAATGGAAAAGTCCTAGAAACTGTTAATGAATTTATACATCGAGGTGCATACTTCACTTCCGATGTGGGGTGGAATGCACATGTTGACTACATTTCCATGAAGGCCTCGCGTAGGCTTGGCTTTTTGCGTTGAAATTTTAAACTTGTACCCTAGTCGGTCAAAGGAACATTTTTTTCCCCACGTTCGTTCTATCCATGAATATGCATATATTATCTGGTACCTTTATACCACATTTTGTATTGAAAAGCTTGAAAAAGTTCAAAATATAGCTCTAAGGTTTGCTTTAGGAAATTATGATTGGCGAGTTAGTATGACGCTGTGTAAACGCAAGCTAAAGTGCCCCTTATTAAGTGATCGTAGAAAGTACCACCGTCTCAAATTCTTTCACGTTATCCCGAAAATTGTGTTGTAGAAAAGGATAAATATATAAAAGTCATTTTCTACGTATCCCGTACAAATGACACTGCCTTAAACATTCGAGAGATTCCACCTGGGGGTGACGTGCTCCGACACTCTTTTTGTGTAGAAACCACGCGTGATTGAACCTGCCTTCCATCACGCACAGTTACTATAACATAAAATGACGATTTTTTTACATGCGCTGAATATGCAATCTTTTTTATCCTATGTTTTTCTATTTGTATTCCCGCCGGCTGTAATATCAGATGACGAAGTAGGTACCTGAATAAAGATCACGAAGGTAGAGGACAAGTAACAAGTACTCGATTCGTTAGCCTGGGTAAAGCTCTCGATAAAGTTTACCACATCAAGGGCCGTGCTTGTGGTCCGAGCGTGTGCCAACGGCTTTATTAGACGCGAGTCTGAAAAGAACACTACCTTGTTCTTATTATCGGCCTGGTGCGCGCCCAAGGCGTTAATTTCAAGAATTCTCACAATCCTAAAGTTTGTAGAGTACGAAAACTTATGTTTTATCACGTTGACATGGAACAAAAAAGACTGCGAAAAACTTTTTTTACAAGATTTATTTCATTAAAATTACAAAACGAAAACGTGTATTATATTGTTACCGTTGCCTTCAGCCCACGTTGGTGTACAGCTGCATGCTTTCTCTCGTGATCATAGCCGATTCCACTTGCCGCGATCGCTCCCACTCATAATAAACGTCGATAAACGTCGGCATCATGCTGGGCATCTGAGCGCCAAGTTGATATGCCCAACATTGTTAGAAACAAATGCCCAAAGCCTGAATCACTAGTGTCACTACGGATCTTGCTGGAGACGCCCACATTTAACATTGACGTTTCTAGGTGCGACTGAAAGCTCTATTGGCACTATGCGCTGGTTATGCTTGACGCTGGCTCGAAGGACGGATATCCAAACAAAGATTCAACAGGAAATCGAAGACAACATCGGTAAGATATAAATCTCTCTTTTTTCGGTTTTAGTGATACCTATAAAAGTGTGAAGCAGGCTGTGATCGGGCAGCAATAAACTCTATCGCTTTTCCACGTGTCCCCATTAACGACATGCTCAGAATGTCTGGATAAGAAAATGCGGAATAGTTCCCTTCATTTGCGTGACATAAAATGTGCATGTACTACCTAAACTGCGTTTGCTTAGCGCGCGGAGAACCAAGCTTAGCTTCTTGATATATACCTAGGAGCGTGGGTAGAATAGTACAAAGACAGAATTATGAACACAAATGAATCATGCTCGGAATGTGCATGATCTGGCAGTGTGTATAATATTTGCAATTAACTATAGTCCGTTGCAACCTAAGAACGAAGGGCGAGGGTAAGACGGGCCGGGGAGGAGGAAGCAGACGAAACGCTGGAGAAGAGAGAGGGAAACCTCCTTCTCTCTTTAGCGTTCCGTCTGCTTCCTCCTCCCCGGCCCGTCTTACCCTCTCCCTTCGTTCTTAGGTTGCAACGGACTATAAATAACACTAGCTTTGGGAACTACAAACCATAGATCGTGTAGCACAGCGTAAATACACAAAACTATCGGAGTTTGCTCTTCCCGAATTTTACTGGCAAAGTAGACACATATACTTTTGAGGAAGGTATATTCAGCGAACTCAGCGTGAAGAAAGTGTTCAGGAGTGTTCCTCTTTCTCTGTCGGAGAGAAATTAATTCAATGAGGTTCACCATGCCGAAATGTAAAGCCCACTGGCTGGTCGCCTGAGCAAAGGTGTGGGGAACATCTGTCTAAGCGTCTATTTCAATTTTAGATCTTACTCTTCACATATGTGGAAAAAGCTACAGCTTTATATATATTTTTTTTTTATTCGAGGCAAAGGTGCAGATGCACGTTTATTTGTTGGGTTTCAAGCTCTTAGACTAACCTTCGAACGTTTTATGTGTATCTCGTCACTAGAAAAAGTACCATGCTATCTTGCACACTCTAACTGAACTGTTAAACGCATTAAAATATTCTTAAAGTAGTGCATCGCTCAAGAACAGTCCTTTCAGGTGGATTGTGCACAATACTTATTCGGTTTGTCTAGGATCATCTCCTCCGACATTGAAAGACAGAGAAAGACTTCCGTACACAGTGGCCTGCATCCACGAGACTCTCCGCGTTTACCCCGTTGGTCCGTTGGGATTTCCACACAATACGTGTTGTGACACGCAGGCTGGTGAGTTCGTTTCTTACCGATGTGGCACCTCGTTCAAATACAACACAAATGCCATTGTATTGCCGCGTCCGAGGTATCATTAGAATTGCACACAACGTCCAAATTTTGCATTATGCTTACCTTTTTTAACAAAGTCTATTACCTCAGTATACTTCGTTTCAGCTTACGTCCAGACGCAGCCGACTCCACGAGCTAATGGGAACAGAAATATATGGCAAATTGCTAGGCAAGAGTGTTGCTTTCGTGGAACGTTATAGCATTGCAAACGTTCAGCGGTACTCCGAGTTTCTAGACTCTAGATGTCTACGCTTAATCGGTGCTCTTCATCAGATAGTTCAACGCTTACCATGTGTAAAATTGATACTGGTTCTTAGGATGAAGCAATACTACCGCTAATCGGGCTGCTAAACCTGGCGATTTTCCAGATCTTGGTATGCGAATGCAAAGGGAGGCAAGGGACACACGAAAACACGTCAAACACGGACAGCGTTCAACTCGCAACAAATGTATTCTCTCTCGCGGCGTGTCTTCTTGTCTCCTTTTACGTTCGCATACCAAGTTGGTTAACCAACACGCTCTCCTAATTCTATCTATCGATTTTCCAGAGCATTTCATACACTCGAGCAGCTTTCCCTCAGTGCGCACGGGTGGTCGAGCGCCTCCTCGCCTACTCCTCTGGTCACATGGCCTCCCCGTTACCCATCAGCGTAGAGAACCTCAATCCTCTCCCAGCCGTCAACCAATCAGTGTCGATCCTGGCGGACACGCATTTATCCAGGCTTCACTTTTTATAAGCTTCATTACAAGCCGAACACCTAGCCAAATACGTTTCACATTAACGAGCCGCGTGAAAAGCGCAAGTCGCTGGACCTTTTCGTTTGTGATTGGTTCAGCGATGATTGGGCACATAGTGGAACGTGACGAACATCATGTTGGTGCTCTTTTGAAGCTGTCTGATTGGTCCCATCAGCTCGTTGCGTCGGCTGTACATAAGGTGAAACGAAGTGTAAGTTGGGAAACATGCTCATTAGTTTAGATTGACTACAAGCAGAGCGCGCAGCCACCTGCATAACTTTGGTTGCATATTCGAGATTTGATTGCCCCAGCACTCGCTGAGGGAATTGCTTTTGAAGAACAAAGAATTAGTCCTCGTGGCTTCTACAGATGTAACCCTGGACGCAATCCTAAGAACAACCATCAGAAGATTTCAAACATTTATTCCGCGCGCTTCAAAACAACTTAACACTCTGTACCTCGATAACGATACAGTTGCATTCCACCTTGCAAAAACACTTTTGCAACGAGACATTTTCTTCTTGTTCAAAACGCTTAAAAAATAAAAAAAAAATCTTTTCCCTTTAACATGATATGTACACTCTAAGAAATCTAAATCGTCTACTTTCCCGCAAAATACCTAAGAAAGCCACTTACTGCAATCTACACAAGGAGCTCGGTGAATGAAGAGGATGAAAATATGCTTACAGCCAGAAAAAGGCTGAATGTTCAGGATGAAACGCAACGCTCGGTCTTACAACGCAGACGATCTTTTTGAAAAATTCGTAAAATGTTTTCAGCCGCGTCCTTGGACGAGCTCCCTCCATACATTGCAGCAATTGACCTTGCCAAGCGCTCTTCTGGAAAGTGCGCGCTTCAGATACCTCGGAGCATGAGACGCCTTCAATTTACGAACATATCAGGTAGTAAGTGGGATGAAATAAACATTTTGACTTTTCCCAGGTGGCAAGTTTATCCCCAAGGACACTGGCGTCCTCTACAACATCCACGCAGTGAATCACGACCCCGCTCTCTGGAAAGACCCGGAGGTCTTCCGACCTGAACGCTTCCTAGATCCTGTAACGGGCAAGCTAAACCTAGAAGGACAGCCTCAACTCCTCTCGTTTGGTCTGGGCCCCAGGACGTGTCCCGGGGAGAAGTTGGGCCAGATGGACATCTTTTACGTTCTTGTGCGGCTCTTGCAGCGCGTGAGCTTCGGTGTGCCTGACGGAGCCTCGTGCACCGACATAAAGCAACTTGCGTCCAGTGTGTTTCTGATGCCAGCGGTCCAGGAGACCGTCCTTACACGGATGTACTGACTAATGCAACAATGAACCAATATTGAAGCTATTTCACAAACTTGAGTTTGAGTCCGACGCGTTTAGTTGTACAAAAGCGACGGCAAGAGTCGCGCAACTCCACAAGCTATAATATTTGTACACAAACTATGCGCTCGCTGCGACAGCAGTCACCAGTCAACAACGCCATTAAGGTGTGCGGTTCCCCCATCGACGGCCACACTAGCGACTGGGGTTCGACATGGCGGGATGTCCGACGTCTCCGTTGCACTTTGCGACTCCTGGTTTGCTGATGCCGTCACTAAAGTCGCTCAAACACTCTAAGAAAAAAAAATCCCCGAGTTCACTTTATTGTTGCACACAGAAAGAACCAATCACGACGGACAATAGAAGGATCCCAGCAAAAAAGACAAATCTAATAATACGAATAGATCTGAAAAATGAGCTGTGCGTTGAAACAACAGGCAAGTGAAACGTCATGCCAATTGTCTCGGAGTGCCTCTCACTTGTACGGACTAATCCTATTGTATTGTACTGTATTGCACTGTTCTCGCATAGTGCCGCTCTGTGTGCAGGTGTTCAGGGAAATGCGTGGCCCCCCTGCACGTTTTGTGCCCTTACACCGACTGGGGAACATGTTCCCTTTTCTGTCAGGGAGTCGGCGTATTGAGGCCGCAAAAACGGCCCCAAGATCACGAGGCCGACAGAAAGCACTGAACCCCAAGGGGCTGACCTGTGTCACCTTTTCGTGGGATTTTGTTTTGTTTTTGTCCGTAAGTACAAGTAATTTTAACGTGATATTCACAATATTTATCTGAATGCATAGTTACAAGTTGTAAACACGGAGCAGTTGATTATTTTATCTTAATTTTGTTCATTTAATAACGACATTCAACTTGTATGTTAATTTGTAGATACTGCTTTACGCAGTTATCTCAACAAATAGCGCCGATGTTTTAGTTCCCCTAAGAGAGATTCTTTTTCGCAATACTTTCTACAACATGTCATATGGAACTTGGAATAAAACAATCGCAGGATTCGGAAATTCATTAGGTGTTGTGTATTGCCCGCTGGTATTGTGATGATGTAATTCTGTTGGTAGTGGCATTTTGATTAAATAATGCATCGCATGCTTCCAATTTGATTATACCTCGCGATCTATGCGTTAATCTAGCAAAAGAAATCCTACAGCGAATTTTCCTCATTTAATCCCATCTCCCAAATCCAGTTTTTATCGGTAATTGTCCTAAACAAAAGGAATGATGAAAAACAATAACCCAAGACGTCTTTTATCCTCGTTTTCGTCCCCTGCATCCCATTGGCTGGCATGTTTGCTCGGCTGTTAATTCAACAACATTTTTTTTTTTTTTACGGAGGTTAACTTGCGTAACGTTTGAGACCTGTCCAACTCGTCGAAAGGCAATTTCTAGAAGATCAACTCGACGAAGGACAACTCTTCGAATAGGGAAAGTCGTCGTATGTCATTCAGTTTCCTTTTTGCAGACTTTGTTCCGGCGAACCCTGGCATAGTGAGAAAATCGGAAACTCAGAAGACGCATTCACGAAACACTAGGATCAGGCGGTTCTGCCCTTCTCCCAACACTCCATGAAAGATTCGTTTTTGACGACTTAGTTTTGAACTTTCATTTAACATTCAGTGCGACTGACGCTTTCCACATCAGTCGGAGACGCGGAACGCTTCTCCGACTGACGCAATTACAGGGTCCTAAAACGTGGACATTAATTGCCGCTTGAAGACGTCCTAAAAGTGTCATGTAGACTTTGGTCGCGATCCTCGCGGTGTTACTACAGCAATGGTGGATGTTGCAGGCGCCAGTTCCCATGCAGGTCGTTCTCCAGGCTCTACAGACCACGGAAGCTTCAGCAGTCACGAGTTGGGAGCTCGCGAGGACAGCAACACTCGGGTTCGCTCGTATCTTTTGTCGGGGCTACTAGCACCGACCTCCAGGATCACGACACACGACAGCATAACACGCCGCCGCTTCTGTGACGTCATTTGTTAGCACCTTGGGACCACTTTTGATGTGCGATCAGTATAGGAGACTGGACATGTAAAGATGGTCGCAATTTTTCTGTGCTGCCGAGGCGGCCTTTCGTTTTAGTTTATAGGTACATGTCGAGCTGTTGCTCGGTCATTCGTTTTGGTTGAGCGAGCTTGTACGGGTCTTGCCTTCTTCCTTCTACCACTAGCAGAGTCGTATATCGCCCAAGGCAGGTGGGTCTCTCACCCGGGGTCAGGGGCATCCTGACGCACAAATCTACGCAGGTACTCAGGGAACCGGAGCGCTGCTGTGAACGGCTTGCGCGCCACTTCGTAAACTGGGTCGCGTCTCGAGCTGGAACGACTTCGTCGAATACCTCGGGTCAGGTTCCAGTGGCTCGCGGCACTGGCTGCGGAGGCACCGGCGCAACTGGTCAATAGGCGCCAGCATGGACCCAGCATCGAGGCATTCTCCGCGAAACGGCTTCCCAGGACGCCCAAATGTATCTGACGCGACTTTCGTTTACGTTGAGGCCCGCGCTCCTTGGTGAGAGAGCGTTTTCTGGTGAGGCACGTTTCGACGATTCTCACCGAAACCGAGAATGAGTATATTTTCTCCGGAGGATAAATATATCGAAGCCTAAGTCTCGGTGTTTAGACTCACAATCGCAGGGCCCGACCTCAATGCAGCCCTCGGAAACAGCAATGACCTGTCGTTCGATTGATCGAGGCTGCGACGGGGCCTGTACCCAATGGGATTTGGACTAAACTCTCATTGGACGGGGCAGCTTCTGGAGCACCGTCTTAACCCCTGACCGAGCGGGTGGGCCTTGAGCTGAATAGGTTTGTGAGCCCCCGCTGTTCTCGTCCTCGTTCATCGGGTACTTAGCCACCGTCCTCGCCGTGCACGGTAGGACACTTGACCCGGCGTCTCGCAATGCTGGGTCCATATGAGGGTATAGTTATTATCCGTCGTTTGCTTGCATTGTGTACTCGAAAAAAATTAAGAAATGTTTTTTTTTTATATATATATAATTGAACACTAAGCTTCTTGGCCGTCCCTCTCCCCAATTCCTCGCCATCTACATGCAGCCAACCCTCCAGAAACCGGCATCTTTCCACGGACCCCGGACCCCGACTATAGACACCCCCATAGTTCCCATCGACCGGGATAACAACCTTAGAACTACTAAACACACCAGTCGACGACGCCTGCCAGGCACCGTGGCCACCCTAGTGAAAATCTATGAGAAATTTTTTCTGTTCAATAAACACGTGTGATTCATACAAGATATGTAAGAATATATAAGAACCATATAATAACTAAATAAGACCTATATAAGAACCATATAAGAACTAAATAAGACCTATAGAAGAACCATATAAGAACTAAATAAGACCTATATAAGAACCATATAAGAACTAAATAAGACCTATATAAGAACCATATAAGAACTAAATAAGACCTATATAAGAACCATATAAGAAATTAGAAGGAACTTATACGAAACTTCTCACAAGTTTCTTCTATGGTTCTTATATGTTCGTATATATCTTATATAGTTTTTATATGGTTCTTATGTGTTCTTATATATCTTGTATGATTCATACGTGTTTATTGGACACGGAAATCTTCATACAAATTAAATTTTTCAATAGGGCAAATGCCAGAGCTCAAGACGGGTCCAGACATCGCGGTGACTCATTCAAGATGCCGACGCGGGAAGGAGTCCAATGACAACGCAAGTACTTTACACTGGGAAGCAGAGCTTTCGTTTATAGAAGTACAGGAAAATTCTAAGGAAAAAAAAAAACGTGTTTTTTTTTGTGTTTTTTTTTTCTTGGGTAAATAAACGATGCGTCGAAGAAAGCTCGAAGTTCGTTAGAATGGGGCACTAGTGGTTGGAATCAAACGGAAAAGTTCGACAACATGACATTACCTGGATCGAAAGAAAATTTAGGAAAAAATTAAATTCCTCTATGAACCGACGTCCATTCATAGGCCTAAAGTTGTGACAACGATAAATGATATTTCGGGCTCCTTTAGCATCTATTTCAGTCAAAAAAGTCACTCTGTAAGGAAGAAAACAATATCCATTTTCTCGCTGATATAAATCTCATTAACGTCCATAATTTCTAGTTTTGTTTTAACGACATTGCTTAGGTAGACAACGGCTCATAGGTACAATTTATTTTTCTGAATTATTTTTGAATGCTGGTAACTTCACGTTTAAAACCTTTTGAATTCCATCCCCATAGCCATTTAGTCACAATCTCCTAAAGTCCCAGCATTCTGCGACGCATGGTTTATTTACCTGATCCAAAGCACTCGTTTTCCGTTCCTATGGAACTCTCTGTATAAATAGTTATGGAGGGGTAATTTTATACCCCTCCATAACTGTTATTAAGAATACTTTGAAACACTTTGGGCGGTCTTCCTGTCTTGAAATTGTGGTACTGAATTTTATTCACGATGAACAAATCACCTCCCTGTGTTCCCTGTTTCTATACTATTTCATTTCATTTCATTCATTTCATTTATTTACCTCAAGGGCGTCTTTTGAGGACGCATTACATGAGGGGGGTGGCAATAAATGGGAATACAATATAAAACATAACGTAAGAACACTAACACAACCACATCTCTTCTAACCACAAAAGAAAACAAGATATATATATACACAAACAGACGTTCCCTACTCATTGAATAAAAGCACGCAGATTTCTTGAAACGCTGTAATATCTAAGTTGGTTACAAAATGATCTGGCAAGTTATTCCATTCTGTAATACATATTATTAAGGGAGAAAACATGAATGAGTTATTATGGGAGCGGTATTGAAGGAGTTTACATGTGTTTTCGTTTCGAGAAGAAATATAATGGGCCTTTTGACAATTTCTGAACTGTGAATTACTATGGTAAACTTGATGGAAGAAACACATGCGGTTAATTTTGCGTCGTGTGGCTAATGAAGCGAGACCAAGTCTTGATCTTAAGGCGGAGACACTACTTTGTGGAGAGTAATCGTTTAGGATGAACCGGGTAGCTTTGTTTTGAAT